GAAGGGTTGAAAATGGAAATATGGATAAAATACAAGCAACAATTAGCAAATTACAAAAAGAAAATAACTGAAGCAAAATTACGCAGCTGGAAGAATTACTGCTGTAGTAATAAAGATACATACGGCCAGCTGTATAAAATGGCTACAAGTAAAGTTTTTAGTCCCGCACATATCGGTCTTTCGAGAGATCAACTCTCACGTAACAGCCAGCTTGGTAATGTCACTGAAAAGATTCTCAACAATATTCTAGATGTTGTTTTCCTAAAAGATAATGCAGAAGACGATGGCCACTCACATTCCGACATTAGATACAATAATACCGCTCCAAATACTCCAGACGATGTGGAATTCCACTCACAAGAAATTTCAAAAATTATTAAGTATCTTCCGAATAATAAAGCTCCGGGACCTGACGGATTAGACAACAGGATTATTAAGATAATTCACCACGCAATGCCTTTTCTGTTCCACAAACTACTAAACCTCTGCCTCAAATTTTATGTCTTCCCGAATTGTCTCAAACAGGGACAAACAATACTATTCAAGAAAAATAATAAAGATCCTACGGATCCGGAAGCCTTCAGACCAATCAACCTCTTACCTGCAATAGGTAAACTTCTGGAACGTGCAATCGCGGGCAGATTACGCCACCACTTAGAGAAAAACGAAACCATAAGCCCCAACCAATACGGCTTCAGACCTCTCAAATCTACATCACATGTGATAGTAGAACTTCAAGAGCAGATCCGTAGGAATAAATCTTCAGCTCTCCATACAGCAGTACTCTGCATGGATCTCAAAAATGCGTTTGATTCCGTGTGGTGGCCTAGTATCCTTGAAGCCTTGCGCAACATTAAATGCCCTCGGAACATATTCAAGCTAATGAATAGTTTCCTAAGTTTCCTAACAAACAGAGCAACGATAATCATCAGCAACAACTGTATAGTAGAAAGAAGAATAACGAGGGGCTGTCCACAGGGCTCTTGTCTAAGTGCAGACCTGTGGAACATCACCTTCAATTATATCACCTCCTACAAGTGGCCGGACCATACAAAGCTCATCGCCTTTGCCGACGATGTGGCCTTTGTAACAAATGGGCATTCAAGAGACATACTAGAAAAGAATAGTAACGAGACTCTCTCCATATTCCATTCCCTCTGCGTCAATCAAAAACTAATAATTTCAGAGCCCAAATCACATATTATTTTATTTCCAAAACCGGGCAAATCGCTACAAAGGCTACCTTGCATTAAAATCAATAATAGAAGAATCAAGATCTCAAAAGAAATCAAATTTCCTCGGATTGAAAATTGACCAAAAGTTTTCTTGGATCCCACACCTCATGGAAATTCGGAAGAAGACCCAAACTATTTCTAGAGCCCTCGCAAGGATGCAAGGCACAACGTGGGGCCTCAAGTCGAGGATGCAAAACATTCTCTATAATACCGTGATCGAAAAAATAATCCTCTACGGGGCATCAGCATGGACTCACCCTATGACAGTGAAAAAGAAAAGACTCTTAGCTTCGATCCAACGCCCCTTCCTCTTACAAATAGCAAAAGCATACAGAACTACCTCAACGGCAGCTCTCTGTGTATTAACAGGAATCCCACCCCTCCACCTGAAAGCAAAAGAAGATGCAGACTTAGCCACGTTATTCCACCTCAAGAAAAACATAGAGGTAGAAGATCAAAACCTGTGCCCCCTTGATTTTGAACAGCCACGAAATCCTTACCTAAGACACCCTGCAGTACATGCAAAACTCAGAATATCTACAAAAGAAGACACCCTCAGTGTACCTTCATTTCCAGTCGTGTACACAGATGGGTCAAAGTTAAACGAAGAAGTAGGATGCGCGTTCTTTGCACTCCTCTCAGAACAAGAAACAACAGAATGGAAAGGACACCTAAGGAACAACAACAGCGTTTTCCAAGCTGAGCTTTCAGCCATAAAACACGCTATTCTATGGTCTCATCAAAAGCATCTAACATATGTTACCATCTACAGTGATAGCCAAGCGGCAATTAAAGCTGTTGATGATGCAAGAAACAAATCATCAATAGTGCAAGATATCTACGATTTATTATCACAGCGCAAAGAGAACATCTATAAAAATAAAGTGGGTAAAAGCGCATGCTGGACAAGCCCAAAATGAAAGGGCAGATGCGCTTGCTAAAAATGCAGCTCAAGACCCATCTCTACCTCCAATCAATGTCCCATTCCCTAAATCGTATGTGAAACATATGTTGAAAAAAATTACATTAAAAAAATGGCAAACTGAATGGGAAAATGCAGAAGTAGGTAGAAGGCTTTTCAACTTCTACAAGAAACCCACATATGATCCAATCTCTTATAACTTCTTCATCAACATATTCTTATCTGGACATGGTCCTTTCCCCACGTACTACTTTGCACGAAATTTGAGCGATTCAGACAAGTGCGTATGTGGGGAAAAGGGAGACCCAGAACACTATCTTTTCAAGTGCCAGCTCACAAAAAAGCTACACTGCAAAGGAAGGTCACAAATTACGCCTGAGTACATTAAATGCATGCTAACGATACCTCAATTACACAACAAAGGTTTCCTTGATTATGAAGAAACTTTTTGCATATAAAAGAGAAGACATATGTCAAGATGCTATCACATCTGTATAAATACCTCTTATTCTACAACTTGCAAAAATAATGCAAGATTTCAGAAATATTGCAAGTGTCTGAAACAGGCTAAATATGGTATAAATAGTTTTTATAAAATAGCTACATTAAGAATTTGGACTGTATTAGTGTAATAATTAAATCATTAATTAAAAAATAATATAAATAATATACGACTCTATTAGATATATTAGTGTAAATGTAAGTATTATGTGATTTTCTAATGTATATTTTCTGTATTTATGATACATTAATTTACAAAAATAATAATGTAAGACTTCAGTGCTGATGCATTTGTGTGTAACAAGTTAAAAAAAATGAAAGGAAATGTATTAATAAGAGAATTCGCCTTAGTAATTCAACTAAGTATGATAAAATGCACAAAAAAGAAAAAAAAAAATCTTTAATTAGCTCCTTAAAATGATGTTTATTTTAATTCGATGTAACTAGATATACTAATGTAAATATATTGTTTGTATGAAGTACAATGTACAATGAAAGTTTGTATGTATGTTCGAAGTAATTATGTTATTTCAATCTGCCATAATCCAACTTTTGTTGATAGGTTAATTTCTTTGCAATAATTGTATGCTATGTCTTTGTAATTGTATATTCAATACGTAAGTCTAATATTAATGTAAAATTACTATGTAAATGTCTTGGTAGGCTAGCATCCGATGCGGGCCAACTAAAAGCCCAGCGGGGTACAGTAGTGCGGCGGAGCAACACCTGTAAAAGTCACTGACGAAGTTCTGGTGCTCCGTCCACTTTTCCCTGTCCCTGTCCCTGTACTAAAACATGAAAATTCAATAACATCTTCTGGATAACACTGCATTGCAATTATAAGCTAAAATTAATTAATTATAAGCTAAAATTTAAAGCTTTAGATAGCTTGCAATATACTAAGGTGCTTTTCTTTCGCAACAGTTTCATTTGTTATTAAAAACATTAAAACAATTGACTAAAGAAATTTTAAAAAAATTATTTGCATATTATTCTGAAAATTATTTATAGTACTGTAAACTTTTAAAAATCTATTTGATTAAAAAAAATTTTTTTGGTACTTTTTATTTACTTATTATTTTCAATTCTTGCATTTAAGGTAATAATTTAGGATTTTTTTTTGTGAATGTGTCTAATTGAATTTATGGCCACATATTTTACATTAAAGTGCTTATTTCGTGCATAGAACTGCAGATTTTGAATCCAGCAATGTTTAAATGTGAAAATAGTTCATCTGAATCAAAAGATATTGGAGAACATTTCCTGATGGCCTTGGAAACTATTTGTGTTGCCTAGTTGGTGATCTACAGTTAATAAGAAAAGAAATATAGTTCCAAAAGCTAGGATTAATGAGTTGTTAGTTCTTAGCGATTTAACTTCTGAGTAACCATGATTGCTTTTATTTGGTCAGAAGATTTTTTGTCATTTGGTATATATTCACTTACAATTTACAATATTATTCTTAGTTTATTTCATGACATGAATATCATCTTAATGAATGGATGTTTATGAAAACAGAGACTAAAACAAGTAATTATACAAATTTAGCTAATAAATGCTATTTAAATATGATGCTTCATCAGCAGATTACAAAAACTATGCCATTCAGAGTGTTAAGAAAGACAATGATTCAAACATAATTAATTAGCTGAATTGCACTTTGGAATGCAATAATTAATTAGCTGAATTGCACTTTAGAGTTTACTATATGATCGATTTTAGTAGCTTTTGATATTTCACATGTGTTAAGGAGGATTTGCCTAATATTAGCATTTTTCTTGAGTTATTTACAGCTACTCAATTTATCAACTATTACAAATTGCCAATTTCTTCATGTGCATCTGGAGTTATTATTTAACCCTCTGACCACATGGGGTTTTGCTAAGAAAGCCCCAAACTGCCATGGTGCTTTATACCTGGATTTATGTATATTTAATATATTGCCTTAGTTTTTTGGACATATTTCATGATGCACTTATACTTTCTTAAAAACATCACAAATATATACTACAATAAATACATATACTTTCTTAAAAACATCACAAAAAATATTCTAGCCACCCACAGGGTTAAGAGATATCCAGATGCTCACAGCTTACAATAATATATATATATATATATATATATATTTCATTATGATAGTCTTGCCAATTAATGATGAATACAAAGGATACTGAAACTCAGAAAAGTATAAAACAAAGAAATAATAAATTAATGAAAACATAACACATATTCATTTAAAAAATAAATTTCCCTCAGTTATGATAAAGCAAACAAAGAATTTATGAAAACAATATTTTTTATAGTTAGTTATTATTAATCATACGAAATTATGTACTTACTTCTTTTCCATTTCTATTTTTAGATCAATACCTTGTTTTTCCAATAATTCCAACTGAGCAAATGTCCAGTCAACGGGATCTGCACCTGAATAGTTCAAAATAGAATCCTTAGGTAAAATACCTAAGTTCAAAAATAAGATGAATATATTTTCCCATACAACACAATGAATATCTTTGAAGTATAATTAAGATCAAAATGAAATAGTTTAGATGTATGATAATATTAAAAAAAAATATTTACTTGAATTGTTAGATGTTTCAATGAAAGATTTTCTGCATTCCCGAGCTATAAAAAGAGAAAAATTTTAAGTACAATTCTAAATATTTTTTTAAACATACAAGAAATTAACTTCTTTTAATAATGACTTCATACCTTGTTCGGGATTTTGAAATCGAAATACATGGTATTTGCCAAGGATAACTCGAGAACCTGTTTGTAATACAGCTGAATCAACAACTTCTCGACCATTTACATAACACATTGCATTTGGACAGGATTTTAAAGTGACTGTGCCTAGAATATGAAAAAAACAAGCCACTAATTAATTTATGATCAAGTTACCTGTAAGATTCTTTACTTTATGATTTTATTGCATATAGGACATTAGAAGAATTTTCCCAAGAGTAATTTCTTAAGTTTTCAGATGCTGACAATATATTATTAATATTTTCATGCAGTTTTTTTACTTTAACATCCTATCTTAAAACCATACAAAAATTCATTAAACTAGAAATAGTTTTCATTTATTAATTTATGCAAATAATATAACCAGCTGGCCATATGCTAATAAAGAAGTCTGCAGTGTTGTCTAGAACAAAATAAATTCTATTCTCCTTTAAAAAATTATATTGATTAATACTTTCCCCCACAATGGCCATAGTAATGTGCATCATGTAATCAATCTATTAACATCAGAAACCATTTTCTAAACTGATATTTCATTTTTTGATATGTACAAATGCAAACATTTCAATCTTCAATTTGTGTATGATCCCTGATATTAATCAGAAATTTTAAAATTAAATATGTTAGACAAATTTTGCTACATGAGAGTTAACTTTTTGCATTTTATTTTTTACAATAATTATAAACCTTTTCTATCATAACTGTAGGGACTAGAATTCATGCAAAATCATAGATTTTATAACTTTTATAAAATACATTTTTTTACATTTAAAAAAGCTAAAACATGAATATTTGTATCATTTAGAACATTGTTGCACTTGGAAAATAATCAAGTATTGTTTTATATCTTTGTAACAGGGATTATAGATTAAAGTAAAATTAATAAACATTTAATTTTATTCTAAACTACCCCAAGAATAAAATAAGAAACATGTTTTATAATTGATTATTATTGAAAAAAATTGTCTAGAATAAAAACTGAAAATAACTGTCATACAGAATGAAAACTGAATACAACTGATGACAACTATTTCATTTTCATTACTTTATATTTCATTTCACATCTCATAAAGCAGTGGTGCACAAACTAGGGGTCGTGACCCCTATGGGGGTCGCCAGAAGTTTTTTGAGGGTCGCCAAATTTTTATGAAATGCATTATGCCTGCATGCTGCATACCATACACTGTATATATAAAGAATGAAGCGCCGTCACTCACTGTTTAATTTCAATTTCATGCTGTCCACTCTTTCTTTTACCGTAATGTGTAATGTATATAAAAGTGTGAAGACGCAAGTTTTTCACTTCGGTAGATGGTGCCCTCTTCACAGTAATTCGTCATTTTTACTGAAAAGCGCCTATTTGACTAGACGTTAACCACAGGGAAAGGGGGAAAATTCGCTTCCGTGATCAGCCAATCAGATGGCGAGGTACGCAGTGTATCTGATAGTCAGAGTGAAGACGTGAAGTGTTCGCATGAAGTTGTAGCATGTAGCAGTTGGCCAGCAATTGCTTTAGTTTATCCTCGAGTTTTATCATGTGACGTTGTGTAATTATGATTTTTTATATTTTTATCGGGCTTTGCTACTCTTTGTTATCAGGTATGTACTATCATTAGAGAAAGACTGTTAATTTTATTGAATTTCTCGAAAAAAAAATGATAAAATTTTATATATTGTTTTAGTTTAAATAATTTAACCCCTATCTTCATAATGGATAAATGGGTAATACGTACACCAGGTACATCTTCAGCTAACAAACAAACAAATACTGATGAGGAGTCGCAAAATACTGAACTAAATGCCCGATCTAAAAAAATAAGAAAATACAATGAGGAATTTATTAAGTATGGTTTTACATTTTGTGTTGTTGATGATGAAGAACGCCCGATATGTGTCATTTGCAACGAAAAATTAGCAAATGAGAGCATGAAACCAGCTAAATTAAAAAGGCACCTGGAAACTAAACATAAAGAACTTTTAAATAAACATGCCGATTTTTTTCAAAGACGAGCTGAAAATCTGAAAATTCAAAGTGCACATTTAAAGAAATTTACAACAATACCTCAGAAAGCATTACCAGCTTCTTTAGAAGTTTCTTATCTAATAGGAAAAACAATGAAACCCCATACAATTGGAGAATCTCTTATCCTTCTGGCAGCAACTATGTTGACATCAATTATGCATGGCGATAAATATGGAAATCAACTAAAAACAATACCATTATCAAGAGATACCGTGTCTCGGCGGATTTCCGAAATGTCACGAAATATCGAGTCAGAAGTCATAAAACGCATACAAAATTCATCTGTATTTGCTTTACAACTGGACGAGACTACCGATATTACTAAAATGTCACAACTAATTATTTACGTTAGGTTTATTTTTAATGAAGATATAACAGAAACGTTTTTATGTTGCAAAAGTTTGGAAGGAAAAACAATATTCGAAGTAATAAATGAATATTTTGAAACAAAGTCCCTTCTTGACCTGGGCAAACTGTGTTGCGGTTTGTACTGATGGTGCTGCAGCATTAACAGGTTCGAATAAAGGGCTCAGAGGCTTAATTCAGAAGGTGGCGCCTCATATGGTATTTAATCACTGTATGATTCATCGGCAAGCTCTTGTTGCAAAAGATATGGATGAAGAGTTGCACAACATATTACAAGACGCTGTTAGTTCAATTAACTACATTAAATGCAACAGCCACAACAGCCGTCTCTTTTCAATACTTTGCAATGAGATGGGCTCAACGTATGAGAGATTACTGTTACACACCGAAGTCAGATGGCTTTCACGTGGGAAAATACTACGACGGATATTTGATTTGAGAAATGAAGTGTACATGTTTTTAATCGAAAAGAAACATAGATTGGCAAGTTATTATATCAATGAAGTTTGGCTAGGGAAGCTGAGCTATTTAGTTGATATTTTCGAAAAACTTAACGACTTAAATTTGAGCTTGCAGGGTGAGAATTCAACTATCATAACTTCAGCCAGTAAAATTCAAGCTTTTAAGAATAAGCTTAGTCTCTGGCAAACTGAACTGAATAAAAACAACACCGACATGTTCCCTTGCTTTAACGATTTTATCAAGGAAAATAATATAGATATATTTACATTTAAAAACATCATTTCCAATCACATTGAAAAGTTAAAGGAAAATTTTTCGAGAAGATTCGAGGATTTTCCTGAAAACGATCTTGGTTGGATTCGTGATCCATTTTCCTTTGACATATGCAGTTCAACTCTTCAAATTAGTGAGAGAAAGAGCAATTGATAGATCTAATTAGTGATTATACTCTTCGAAATCAATTTAAGACTCAGCCTTGCCCCAAAATTTTGGCTATCCGTGGAAAAACAATATCCCGTTTTATGCAAGAATGCCATCAGAGTGTTAATACAATTTGCATCAACGTATTTATGTGAAACTGGATTTAGCAAACTAGTTTCAATAAAAACTAAATACCGCTCATGTTTAAACCCTGAAGATGATATGCGAATTGCAATTAGCAACATACAACCAAACATCGATGAGATAATTAGAAACTTGCAGCCACGGACATCTCATTAAAGGGCAATTTACTGATTTTTGTGTTATACAAAAAGTATTTTCTTAAAATTATAAATAAAATTAATACGAGTCAGATATGATGATGTTTTTATTCAATGAAATGAAAGAAATGCGCGAAATATACATCGTATTTGTGAACATTTATCTCTAGGGTTCGCCAAAAATTTTTTTCTCTACAGAAGGGGTCGCAATCGAAAAAAGTTTGCGCACCACTGTCATAAAGAACGGAAAGTAATTTAGATAACTTGATATCATGAAAAATTATTAAATGCAATTATGCCCTAAGGTTCACAGGTGGAATTCCTGGCACATAAAAAGTTAATATGCCCTAAAGATTCAGAAAAGGAAATGATAGAGGTTTCAAACACTTCATACTAATGTATACTTTTCTTACATTTTGATATGAAATCTGATTCAAAATAAAGTTTCTCATGCTTTTAAACTATTAAAATTTACGAAAACTTAGTATTTGTAAGGGGATTTCAAACTACAATGATGTCTCATGTAATGAATCTACATTCAGACAAAAAGTGTCCTGGATAACAGTTATGAATTATACACAAACATGTTATGCATTAAATATAGAACTAAATTTGCTTTACTTCATGTTTTAAGGGCTTAAACATACACACATTGAAAAAGTCTGTACATAAATAAAGACAACAATCAGAGAATTGGGCAAATAAATGTATTATTTAATACAGTGAAACCTTGGTTTACGAACTTAATTTGCTCCTGAAGACAGTTTCTCATCTAAAATATTTGTGAAACAAAAACAATTTTCCCCACATAAATTAATGTAAAATAAATTAATCCATTCCTGGATCCTAGATGATTGCTTAGAAAAGAATAATTTGAATGTAAGCTTGTAATGCAAAACTGATGGCATTTATCAAGTTAAGTCTAACACATACACAATATATAAAGCTACTAAACAGAAGTAGCATAACTAGAAATGATGAAAAAGCATCAGTGGAAAATGTTATTGTTTGGTTTAAAAAAAAACCTTCTGTTCCCTAAAAATATCAGATAACTGCTGTCCCATTGCTTGCTTCTATTTGAGAATCACTCAACCCATTTTCCATTACAAATTCATTCAATGTGATTTGTTTCTGTCTACATTTTAAAGTGTTAATAAAACAAGGCATGGTAGTGTCATTGAAAATATTTATGCAACAGTTTACTACCTTATCAGTGTGAGAAAGTTATACGAACCCTTGCACCTTATCCCATCTTTTGCACAAATTCTGAGTATCAAATAACTGCCTTCTTCTTTCATCTTCGGAAGAAGACATACCCTCCAATATATTAACTGCATTTTGCAGCATCGTTGTTGACAGCTTGCTTTTTAATATCTCAAGATATTGTTTGTCAATGAAGACATTTTTCACATAGAAAATTTGTTCATGATTCAAGGTCCACTGTATAATATTCCCCTTCAGTGGTAGATTTATGAAGTAGTGGATTCATATCATCCAACACCTCACAATGCATACTATTTCTTTCAATATCAAAATTGATTTGGAGGTCTCTTATAATGAGAGATTCTTCATGACTAACTTCATAAATCTGGTTCTCTTATTACTGAAGAACCACAAGTCTTCCTTGACATAACGTGACAAAGCATAGCTAAGGGAAGATTTCTAGTGAAGAAGAGGAAAATACAAATAGTCTACACAAATTAAAACTACAATCATTGATTTTATGAAGATGGGGAAATTAAGATCAAATTTTCTCAAAGTGAAAATTTATTTAATTAGAAGCAGGAAGAAATCGAGGATGCAGTGGCTGATCTGTTCAATGATAATGCCATGCACTACTTTATGACTTTTTTAAGAAATAGGAGATGACTTTAAAAGTTTCTTGAAAGCTGAGTGTTCTATGAAACTAAAAGCAGATGCGGATAAAGGGCAGTTAAGTCTTTCACTGTCACTTTTTATGTGAATTACAACAGAGGGGTAAAATTGAACAAGACAAAATTTAATTGTTAATATCCCAAACCTGCAATAGAATTAATCTGTCATAATTTAAAAAATAATACACATACTTCATTTGCACCAAATCAGAATGTAATACAAGAATAATGAATGACTTGAAAAAAACATTGCCTGAACTCCAGTGAATTCATCCCACAGTTCAGCTTGCTGATTTAAAAAAACACTTAGCAATACTAGTTTCATTCCCTTCTCAAATCCTGATGTGATGTGAAGCTGACCCATGCAAGTGTTTATTATGTGAGTTTATAACGGAAAATATGAGGGCCATCCAGGAAGTAGATTACGTTTCCGTCTGTGTCCGCTAGGGGCGGGGCTAGCGCGGCCATCTTGGGGTCAGAGCGTTGCGCAGCTCAGTCTGCATCTAGCCGTGCTAGTGAGAGGTTCGTGCTGTGCTCCGTTCAGATACTGTGACGGTTTTGAAATGTCTGCGTTAATTGAAAATCCCGCGAGCTGCGAGGTGCGCTCAGTAATAAGGTTTCTGACTGCAAAAAACTGTAACCGATAGAAATCTATCGGCAGCTTCGTGAAGTGTATGGGGACAACATTATCACTGAAGGTAGAGTGCGTCAGTGGGTCATAAGATTTCAAAATGGCCAAACCAATGTTCATGACGAAGATCGAAGTGGGAGACCCAGCATAGTGACCGCCGAACTTCTCGAAAAAGTCGATGCTAAAGTCCGTGAAAATCGAAATTTCACAATAACGGAACTTTCTTTGAGTTTTCCACAAATTTCGTGAAGTTTGTTGCACGAAATCATCAGCGAAAAGCTTGGTTACCACAAGTTTTGTGCAAGATGGAAGGCAAGAAGAGGTAACGAAGTGGTTGAAGGCGCAGGCGGCCGAATTTTTCGACGAAGGAATTTCCAAGCTCGTACATCGCTACGATAAATGCCTTAATTTGTATGGTGACTATGTAGAAAAGTAGTATTTGAGTGTGGCTTTCATCTGTATATAATAAAATTTGTTTCCTATACTTTGTTTATTTTTTTATTCCAAAACGTAATCTACTTTCTGGATAGCCCTCGTATAAGAATATGACTCAAAAAAATGTTTTACTAGATTCTCATTTCATGATTCTTTTATGAAATTTTTTAACTAAAATTTAATTAGTGTTTTCACAGAAGAGTTTTAATGAATGAGTACAATGTTACAATACCAAATAACTAAACACATATCTAATAAACTTTATTTAATGGTACATATTTAGATTATTCCATGTTTTCCATTTTTTTAATACAACCAATAATTTATGCCATTACCAAAGTGAAAATTCAATTAATAATTAATAATTATCAGAATAGGTTCTTTCAAAACTCAGAATTTAATTTTGTTTCCTTGATTTCTAAATCACGTGCACATTTCTTACTCATGGAATTAATTCATAATGAACAATACAAACTTCCTGAACAAACATGAAAGATAAGATTAGGTAATTTGAACATGGTTATTTGCCTAAGGATTTTTAAGGGTTATTTGCCTAAGGATGATGGATGGCTTTAGAGAGGATATTTTAAAGGAAAATGGCTAATATTCATGTTACATATGGAGAAATCACAAAAACGAGTCATATAGCCAGCCCATTTGCTTAGGTTTAAATTACCAGCATTCAGCAGTCTTAATCCCTCAAAAATAATGGGTCCAAACACTATGAAAGAATTGATGAATTTTATATGAAATATGAAAGAATTGACCCAAAATTTCAACATAATATGAAGTTCAAATTATGTTGAAATTTTGGGTACTTTTCCATTTTGCCGGCAAAGACGATAAAGTTGCCAATAATGGTAAAACTGATGCCAAACGAAATATCCCCGCTGGTAACCTTTTACACATCATTTTCAAAACAAATCGCAGCCATTTTTTATCAGATTGATTGTTTCTTTCAATACTGGCATACAATTTTACATAGAATTTTTAAGTTCAATAGATCAATTTTATGCTCTAAGACCATTCGCGGTAATTAAGTCAATTAGGATGCAATCACACCGCTCACTCGAAGGCAAAAATACAGAAAAAGCAAAGAAAGGGTTAAATTCATCAATTCTAATACGAATGCAATAGTGAAGTAAAGCACAACAGTTTTATATAATTTTCTGAGTATACTATTAGTACGAATTGAAATAATTCTTGCATTCCAAATTAAGATTTAACTTGAAATTAATGTAGATGATTACTAAGAGAATTCGATTTTTGTAGTGTACTTTACACAAGATGAGATCACTTAGGTTCACGTGATATGAACCGGAGAATCGGGTTGTTGAACCATGAAAGCATAGTAAATTCTTAAATTAATGTCTTTTTACAAATTTATGGTCTTTATTTATTGGCTTTTTACAAAATTTTAAATGATATTAAAATGTTTATGCATTCAAAATAAAAAATTCTTAGAACTAAAATTTTTTATGTATATACTGTATGTTGTCGCCAATAATGTCTACTTGACGAGATTTGTGCCGGCAAAACGATAAAGTACCAAATTTTGGGAAAGAGATATGTATATTTTTGTCTGCTGTTAGAATATAGCTTTGTTATAATAACTGACACCATGTATTTTGACTACTAATCTTAATTTATGAAAACAGTCTATCAAGATTTCTCTCTCAGTCCATTTTATCATACAGCTGTTAAGTTTTTCCTCTCTATTCATTTTACCAATGGATACAGCAGAATATGTGTTTTTCAAGTGTATTAACCAAATATTGTGAAATTCTGACAACAGAGCATGCGTTTTTCAAGTGTATTAGCAAACATTGTGAAATCCAGCTCAAAACAGCCTTTCAATTCATGAGCTATTTTAGCTAATATTAAGTCTTTTTTACTGAATTATTTTCTGTTTTCATTGCTTATTTTTATTTGTTCAATTCTTGAATAAGGCCAAGTAAATGCTAAATATTTGAGTGTATTATTATTATTTTAAATTTACTGCTGAAATTTTAAATTTACAGCTGAAAAAATGTTTTTTAGAAATTAATACAACCTCTGCCCAGAAAGTTTGATGAATATGTCTGTAGTTACAATGGATTGTTGTCTTACATAAAACAGCTGTTACTGTCCTTTGAAATAATCCCACATTGGTGGTAATGTACATATGAGAATGGCTGTACAACCATTGGAAACTCCTGGCATAGTTGTTTTTAGGGATGGCCTCCAGATGGGTTACAACATTATGTTGGATGTCCAAAATATTCAAAAACCTCTGGCCCTTCAATGCTGATTTCAATTTGAGGAACAAGAAAAGTCTCAAAAATGTGCTATTAGGGAACACAACTTCCCTATTTACCAGGAACTGCTACATCAGAAAAGCAGTGTGTGGCCAAGCATTGAGCAGGGTCTAGCATTTCACGAGATATGTTAGTTCATATCAGCATTTTTCAACGATTTTCCAATTTTGAAACAGAACAGCATATTCATTCACTGACCCAATTTGAGTTTTGATCACTCACTCAATATGCTCACTCTATAATGAGCTGTTTCCACACAATAAATATGCTCACAGTATAACCGTTTGGGAACGGGTTCAGACCAGCTTTGACCTGTCTATCACGCGATGTGCCGGTTGCACATTCTTACGACCATAAGCACTGTGACGTCATTCACCGAACTTTCTGGACAGAAGTTGTATTTATTTTTTTTACTTCAAATGAAGTTTCTAGTTGAATAAAAATTTATTTCATATAAATTAAGCCAGTTTAATAACTACAAATTCAAATACAAAGTTTATTACGTGTAAAATTTATAAAAGTTTTTTTTTAAAGCAATATTTGATAAAACTACAAAAAGAAATACATGAACATATTTAAGAAACAAAATACCTCCAAAATTTTCAAATATGCAATGTTCATTTAGTATATGTGATCCACTGAGCTTGATGTCTTGAGGAACATTTGCATCTGGCCGTCCTACCCTGGGTTGAAAAAGGGGGGGAAATATGACTGTACGTCAGTGACAATAAACTTGCTAGGAATACAAAGAAAAAATTAAATTCTACAAATCCTGTTATACTATTTTAATGGGGGGTTGTATAACAAATTAAATCTTGGTACAATAGCTGATACTGCTGGACGTAAAGTATCTTCATTGTTTTTCAGCATTGGATAAAATTTGAATTTAATAAGTATTAAAGCTGAAAAAAAAAAAAAATCATTTCACATATGTATGTTTGAAAGGCAGAAGAACATTTAATGACATTTCAGAAATCATGGAAAATTCTGTTCTAGTGCCAATCCAGAATTCAATCAAGGATTTTTGTGGAAACTCAAGTTTTAAATTTGAGTCATTTGATAGATCAACAGATTCATTTTGGGCTTTATATGACAGGTCATTAATCTTATTCATGACAATTAATATAATTTCATTAAAAGCCTCATTAATGTAATTTCCTTAAAATATATCTGAATTAAATTTTCATGATCCTAACATATCCTAATATTTTGCTTTGCAACCTTATTTGGAGTTGCAACCTCCAGTTTAAGAAGCCCTTTTCTAAAAAATTATTTCACAATTTATAATGCACTGCATTTAATATGCTAACATCACAGATGAAAAAAATTGCAAATTTAATTATACAAGAAATTCCATTCATTAGCACCTCTTGAAATTATGCTGTTATTAGAGCTATTAAAGGATCTGATATTTAATTCTGATGTATTTATGTAAAATAAAATATTAAATACCCAATATACTGATAATATTAATATCCGATAGCAATTTTGAGTTGAATGGTTAATAATATTTATTTCCTAAAAGCTCTAACTAAGAAGGGATTTAAAATTAACTTAGGGTACTTCATTCAGAAACTTTGTAAACTTAGCAAATGTTCAATAGGGGTAAACACCTCCAAAGTACTTGTTAAAATACATTGCTCCAAATGGATTTGATAACATGAAATATTTTGTTGAAAAAATCTCATTTAACTCTTTGACGGGTGGTGGGACGCCCACCATTTTTTATCAGTTTTCATCTCCCAGATGGAAGCTGAAAAATTCCATTTAAAATACATACAGTTACCTTTGAGTTCTCTAAATGTATAACAGATGGCAGCACCAGTATTCATTCATGCAAATTATGTAAAATAAAAATTCTTTGCAGGTCTAATTTTTAAGCAGTTTTTTTTTTTTTTTTTTCTTAATTTCTAATGCAATTGAAATCGTCTGAACAACTTTTGGTGTTACAATGAATATTTTCATGTGAAAGTTTCCTTTTCTAATAAAAGTTCTTATTTAAATTCATATATATTAATTAAGAATGGTTGAAATTAAAGGGTAAACAATCTTTTTTTTTATTTTGCGAATATGATCAGTATTTTCTAGATAATTATTCAAAAACATTTTTTATATCTTGCACTTTCACTTAGTTGCTAAAGCTATCACTTTAGATAAGCATGTTAGGAGAATTTACACTCAGGCAAAGATGCCATTTTACTGCTCTAGATGTGCAAAGGGACAACCGGTATCCTATCACTTCATGAATTACCTTAAAGGTTTACCTGTTTTTTTTTTTTTTCCATGAAATAACATTGTATTAGGGGATAATTATCTACGTGTAAATTTATTTTTTCAAAAAAAAAAAAAAAAAATATTTCTTACGCACCGAACCTTAAAAGGTTAAAGATAATTTATTCAGAAGATATATTTAGAATTGTATCTTGAAAGAGAGAAAAAACCATACTCAGAAATTCTGAAAGCAACAGTTAAAAGAAGTATAAAAAAACAATACTAGAGATAAACATAATTTACATAAATTATACAATTATACATTATTAGCACAGTTTTTTTCTTTCCGTTAAAAAGAATGCTATTTAATTACAAAGTTCTTTAACGGATGCAGTTTTAGAAATGAGAAAATATAAATTAAAATTCATTTCAAAAAAACGGTTTTCTGAATATATCTATCTAATCAACATTACAAAGCTAAATTTATACAGCTTTTAATTTGTAATTCCATTCAAATTGTAGTGTAACATATACTCACAAGTAGGAAACAGAAAACAGTCATTTATTTTTAAAGCACATGTACTAGTATGTACTATAATCAAAATTTTAATATTTCAGTCAACAATTTTCTTTACCTTAAATCTTCAAATTATACTTTCTACACCGTAGTTTTTTTATCAATACAATATTTAATTTATTCAAGAAAATTATTTAATTGCCATTGAAAAGTATTTTTTGAATTCAATGGTTTAACAAACTGCTGCAAACAAATTTGTTAAATATAGTCTTAGGAATCAAATCTAGTGTTTTTTTTTTTTTTTTTTTTTTTCAGAAAACAATATTTTTTTTCTAATATTTTTTTTTTACATATTAACATTTTTTATAGCCTCCCATACATAATGCACTGCATTTAATATGCTAACATATTCAGTTATTCCAATTGTAACAAAGTAACAATAATAAATAATAATAAATACCACTTCTGACTAGATTTTTATAAATATATTTATGCAAAATTAATACAATAATTACACATCATATATTACTGCATAAAACAAATTTAACCAGTATAAATCTATAAAATATCTATGTAACTTACCTAGTGATTCCATCCTTAATATAATAGATCAAACATTCAGACATCAAAGGATCTTCATTCAAATTTACCAAATGTGGAGTCTGAAAAAGAAGAAAACTTTTAGAATTATGTTCATATTAAAATCAAAATTTATAAAATATATGGAATCAAATGCATTAAACATACAGAAAATTAAAGTAATTGCAAGAATACACAATAAGGAAACATTCTCTAAGTTTTCGACCCAAGTGTTTTGACTAATATTTAGTGTGGATCAAAAACTTACCACATTCTTTTGACAATTTATCTTCAAAAACTATATTCCTTTGACAATTTTCAGTGAAATTCTGAAAACAGATTGTAAACTTATTCTCACTGGCTTTAACCTTCTGAACATGGAATGTGTGGATAATATGTTTACCTTTTATTCTAAATATATGCAAAGAAAATTCATAGCATTTCCACAGAAACTGGAATTTCAATTGCAATCAGATCTGCAGGAAGAAAATCAGATCTGCTTTTTTTCAAATGCTTTTATGAATTTTGAATTGCAGTTAGAAGGTTAAAACAGCATTGAATACTAGTTGTGTGGATAATGCGTTTACCTTTTATTCTAAATATATGCAAGGAAAATTCATAGCATTTCCACAGAATCTGGAATTTCAATTGCAATCAGATCTGCAGGAAGATAATCAGATCTGCTTTTTTTCAAATGCTTTTATGAATTTTGAATCACAGTTAGAAGGTTAAAACAGCATCAAATACTAAGTTGGGCATATTGATTTAGACAAAATAAGATATTTAAGACATAAAGTGCTCCTTTAACATATAAGTCAAATTTCAGCAGGTTACTTAAACATCTACATAATAGTATCTTTAGATCACAAAAACCTACAATATGCTCCACAGAATAGCATGTTAACTAGCTTGAAAAAATGCAGCCATTCTTTGCAAAATTGATAAAATTGAGGTAGCACATGGTTATATTTAAAACATAGTGACAGTTATCAAATGCCATTTTTTTGTACACAATCACCACAAATGTAAAACAAAACAATGAAAAGTATGACGAAATCATAATCATTATCATATAAATAACTTAATGTTTCAGCCCATGGATATTCTCCATGCTAAACCAACATTAAGCATCAGACACAAAACCCGTGCAGCATGAAACACCTCTCAACCACTTGCGCTAAAACAATGTGCCACGCATGTCGAGATACTTTTGTCTCAAACCTCAAGCGACGACTCAAGCCACGTCGATAGGCATATATCGCAAAAAGGAAAATAACGTGGTGAACATGTCGCCTAACAACGAGATTGTTTATTTCTCGAGTTACAGCTCTAGATTGCACTAGCAGATACGGAGTGGCATAAATGAGACACTTTACCACTTGTTATATTATAGTGCACAACACTGCAACCATGAAGTTTAGTCGTAGCTCAAGTGGTTAATAACATTCATTCTGCTTTGCAAAGCACCCAATTATTATACACATTTAATGATCAACTTACAAAATTACTTAAAGTTATTAACAGCATTCATGTTGTGACTTAGCCATATACATTTAACTTATGTACTATCATAATGCAAACATTTACCTTCCATTCTTTGATGGAAAGTTTTGCAATGGTAAAATTAGATTGAAAAATAAAGTGTCAGAGTCTGTTTTCCTTTTCTCTGGCAATTTATTTGGCCATCCTGAATATTTGTAGCATGCTTCATCCTTTCATTTTCTAACAATATCTAAAACAATTGAACAATGATCCTGTAAATTTTCCATAATTGCATATATGAGCAAGCTGCTTATATTACACCTTATAATAGCATCTTATTTAAGGTAAATAAGTTTACTATGAGAGACCATACTGCATGAACAAAATACATAAAATTTCAGAGAAGTTTAAGCCCAATTTGGAAGAAAACAACTTATGATCCCACAGGATATACTGCAGTGTCTGCTGCTGAAGTAGTTAGTATGTTGAGAATTTTTATCACATAGCACATATATGTACATATTTCCTGAAATCAAATTACAAGAAACAGTTGTAATTATACTAAGGAATACTTATTTAAAATATGGTGAATAATATAAACTTATAAACCTGAAATAATATTTACATGACAAATAAACATCATTAAACTTAGACTAAAATTTAATATGTATTAAAATATTAAAAAAAAAACATATATTTTACTGCAAAATGCAAATAGTTATTTCATACAAACAATTCATATATAGCAAAAATATTCTTGTTAGGCAACAAATACTAATTTTCCCTATTTGCAAAGTTTAAAGTTGAATGAAACCACTATGTACTATACAGTAGAAAAAAAATAGGATTTTATTATTTTTACAGTAAGTGAAGTCACAGTATTATTAACTTTACAGAACATTTCAAGAATGCAGTCAAAAAGTGATATCAGTACAACTTCAATTATTCAAACAATGTTAAATCAAATTGAATGTTGAAACATAAAAACCAAAATTTAAGTTCTTTATCATTGAATTAAATACTTGATTATTTGAATATTTTTTCTGTTCTCTTGACTTGCATCTCATAGAAATTCAAATGTATAAAAAGAAAAAAATTACAAGAATTTAAAAATTCTTTTAAATAACTACTGCTTTATACAGATTACACAGAAGTTCAAATATAAATAAAATAAAAGCTTAAAATGTTCAATAATGCTTTACACATTGCTGATTTATAATAACTGGTAATTTAACATTAAATAATAATAAATTATGAATAAGTGTAAATAATCCACTAGAATAAGCATTACAGCTAGTTAACTGATTGATTTAGGTAAAACATGTGGCAATTATCTGTCTAAGGGAAGGATGCATGTCAAAGACTTTTTTTTTTTTTTTCAAAAACTAACTCATATTTCTGTTATACATGAGGAAAATCACAAAAACAAGATGCAATTAGCCTATTTGCAGGGATATAAACTGGTGTCACACTGCCATTGTGTACTTGTCCAGATGGGCTCTGTAATCCCTTAAGACACATACATTCATAACTGCAATTTCTTAGCCAATTTTGCTAAAGTTTGGGACTTCCTATATTTAACTTTTCAAGAAAAATGAAATTTCATCAGCTGGACTTTTTAATTGAACATAACACGAAAGGATTTTATATTAAAAAAATTTCACTACTTCCAGTGTTGAAACTGTTATAAAAAACTCGATTTATTTTCAGAAACTCTATCATTGGAAGCATATGTGTTAGATTAATATTTAAGAAACTACTGTGCCCTTTTCTGAACGCAATGTATATAAATCATTCTTAAGCAATTTTCTACAAGATTCTATGTCCTGAAAACATATGGAAAAGATTAAAAAAATTAATGTTAAAAAAATCTTTGTCATTACTTATTAAAAGAAAATTTTCAAATACATTTAGTATCATTTCCATGGTTCTGCAATAAATAAGGACACTGATGAGTAAGTGGCACTGCTACATATGGGTTGACTCTATAGGAGATTCAAGGGCTGTAGATAAGAATAGCATAATTGACCTACTGGTATCATGGAAAGCCTTGAAGTTTAAAGCAAGCTATGGCCCAAATCACCAAATATATTATTACATACAAAACGATGAACATTTTTTATTGAATGCTACAGTATCCTCTTGCATAATTTACAAATAAAGAGAAGCAGCTATTTGTAAATTCCAAAAGTTTTTAAAATAATTAAAACTTAAATTCATAACTTCCTTTTTCTTTGCAAATTTTACTAAGTCATGGAACATTTCATATTTAACTTTTCAAGAATAATAATATTTCATTATACAAGAAATCACATGAGTTTTCAATTACGTGTGAATCAACCCATATCTAATTATTAGAACTTTACACTAACTAACTTCAAATAGTTCTGGAAGTAGCTGATATTTGTTCTAAAACATTTGTAAGTATAACATCTTTAATTCTTGTAAATAAAGTTGGCTGGATGAAGTTAACATCCTAGATTACAAGGCCCTATGATTTAAACATTTACGGGTTAATAGGGGGTATAGTCCCTTCTCTTACAGCAACACAGGCCTCACAGCGTGATGTCATACTGGAAATAAGGCAGTTTATCAGTGCCTGTGGCAATTAGTCCTACTCATTCAGCAATGCTGTTTTCAGTTCCTGGATGGTTCTCGGAGAGGGGTTGTGAGTTGCAATTGCCCTCCCCAAAACATCCCAGACATGCTCTATAGGGTTGAAGTCTGGAGACCTGGCTGGCCAATCCTTCTGGCGAATATCCTCACTCTCGAGAAATTCGTCGACCAGAAGAGCTCTATGTGGCCTCGCGTTATCATCCTGTAAGATGAACTCGGAGCCCACTGCACCCCAGAAAAGGTGAACATAGGGCTCCGAGACTTCATCCCTATACCTCACACCAGTCACAAAGCCTCTGTCAAAGATGTCGAGAGGTGTGCGGCCATCCAACATGATGCCTGCCCAGACCATTACACCACCACCGCCATAATTGTTGATTTTGCGGACATTGGAGGATAGGTAACGGGTCCCTGGCTCTCTCCATATGAAAGTATGGCAAGAATCGGTGTTTAGGTTGAAACGGGACTCATTGGTGAAAAAAAGATTGCCCATTGTTCTGTACTCCAATAACTATGCTGCCTGCATCATGCTAATCGGACTTTCCTGTCCGTAGATGGAAGCAGGACCAAACAGCCAGTCTTCTGGTAAACAAACCTCTCTCATTCAGTCTTTTGAAAACAGTCACCCTTGTTACATGGGTTCCTGTAGCTGCATACAGGTTCCGAGAGAGCTGAGAAGCTGCAGCTCCTCTGTTACGCCTTGCTAAAATGGACAAAAAGCAATCTTCTCTGGCCGTCGTGGCTCTTGGACGGCCTTGTCCAGGCTTTCTCTCGATGTATCTAGTATCCTGGAATTGTTTCCATAGTTAGACACAATGCTGGGCATTAAATTAAACTCTATGCGTATCTGGACTTGCATTTGGTCTGCTTCTAGCCTTCCCACAATTTGCAACCTCATTCCATCATCTAAGCATTGGTGGTTTAAAATTATACTAAAAAGAATTTAAAATTATCTAACTCGGTCAAACATAATAAATTTAGTCTTTATTTATATGTTACAAATATTTGAAAGGAAAAAAAAAAAAAAAAATAGATTTAAACATTTAAAATTATTTTAGAAATTACAATATATAATGTTGAGTCTAGCTTGATAAAGGAGTCCTAAAGGTTAATAGATAAACTACTCAATCGGCACACAAGATTTTGATTGATTCCCCCCTTAAATCTTAAATTCCTTATGCCAGTCCTTAAAATGTACATAATATCTGCAAGCATTTCTTATTCTTTATTATTATGTGTGCAAGTTTGGTTTAAATGTTATTTTTATCATTTAAAACCTAAAATTTTAAAATAAGAAATTAAAATTTTTACACACCTTTACCTTTTTCGGAGAAAACACTCCGACTGTATCGCCATCTTCTCGAAGAGCAACACCCATTTCTGCAAAAACAGCCTCTCTAAAAAAAAAAGATGAAAAAATTAAAAAAAAACATAATCTGAAAGCTTTCAGATTTTACTTTACAACCAAAGGGGCATTTGTTCAACATTTTGTGTGTTACCTTTATTTATTACATATTACATTCTTCGCACTTAAACTATAAAATTCAATTCAACAGCAATATTGTGAAATAATTTTTAAATGAGCATATCTTTTGAATTTCCAATACACGGTCACGTGCGCTGGAGATAAAAATGTTTTTTTCATACAGTGTTGCCATTGCTCCCTTTGAGTTTGTTAATAAAAAATTCTTTAAAGTGTTACAAAATATGAAATTGATAATAAAACAAATTCCAAATTCCCACTGTTTTATCACCGAGAAACATATATACATTTATGCAGATTCTTTATTATTTCATTTCTTTAAATATAACATAGGGCAATAATATTTGGTGGCAACAATTTGAAAAGTGAAATGGACATTTAAAGTTTCCAACACAAAATTCCAAAACAAAATTAATAGCCTTTCTGGGCTAACACCCTTTGGGCTGAAAAGTTTATTATTCTGTTCTCTGAATAAAATGCAAATTTCTGTGCCATTTCTCCTTCCATGTACTTATTAGCTAAAATGGCTATTTAAAGAGACTGAATAACATATCAGCTCAAGAATAAAAATATTTAAATTCATGTGAGATCAATCTAGATAAGGTGATGATCTAAAATTTTATATATCTCAAAATAATAAACCTTTATCATAAACATTATTTTACATCGAGTGAAATTTGGTACACTAGATAAAGTTCCTAAGGTTCTTTCTAAAAATTAATGGTTTAATGTGTTGAAATAAAAATGAAGCCTCTTATAGAACATGCATTAATATATTTGAATTTCTTTAGAAATAAAAGTAACAATTTTTCAGAATAAACTTTCACCAAATGAAAAAGAGTGCAATGTAATCATGCATACTTTACTAAAAGATACAAATTATTTTGCTGCCTGTTTTTTAACCCAACAATACAGTTAGAAGACTTTCATTTTAGCATCATATGCAAGGGAAAACGAACTTTTCTTATAGCATCTTAACAACAAAAAACTAATTTTTGTTAACATTACAATTACTACCTTTGAAGACGAATGGCTTCAGTTTTCTTTAGTTTTTCTTCCCATGTTTCATTTAATTCTGCTATTAGTTTTTCTGACTCTTGAAGCTGCTCTATTACATCTTCCCCACTTGAAGATACTGTTCGCTGTTTCTTTTTATTGATGGCATTTTTGTTGTTTTCATCTGAAACAATAAATAATATTTTTAGACAATAAAGCTAAAGAAGTCTAAGAAAATGAAGTTTAATGGAAAGGGAGGACGACAGATTTTACATCACATTATTGAACACATAATAATCAAATAACTCTACTTAGAAAAGCCAATTTCTTATTTTACTTTCAATATATTGGAATAAAGAGAACTAAAAAACTATTTACTTAACACGTAAAACTAAATGTAAGAGTTCTTCTCCCCCCAAAAAAACATGTATTTTTTTAAAACAATTAATTTTAAGCACATGCATCACATCTAGGCAATCAGTAAATTTCATGCATTTTAAAACTTTTTATTTCAGAGGTGTAAATTGTACTAAATACCTATATATGCAAGCATTACTTAAAGATATTTCTAAACAACCATTTAGCTTGAAGTTGCCGCTATTCAACAGCAACAGGTAATCATGAAAAAGATATCCCTAACTTATTTTTTTCAAAGCAACTTGTGTCAGTGTGATTTGCACCTTATTTTGACCATGATTTGTGTCTTAAATATTTTATTGCTGCAGCATGATTTGATTGGATAATCATGAAACTACCATTCCAGCATAATATTGTGAACAAACTCAATATAAGAGAATATAAAAAGAAATGTCATGGTTGTTGTATTAGATCCAAAGATTAAAATACTGAAACTTAAAGATCAAGGTATGCTTCCATTGCATTATTTTTTATACTGAGATTAAAATCTTAAAGGTTGTACTTAAATAAACAAACAAAATGCACCTATAGTTAATTATGAATACTGTATTAGCAGCAAAGCCAGTTAGTCCTAGAAATGAAGCTGTTTGAACTTCTATTCAGAGATTTCAAGCCCCCACCAAAAAAAAAAAAAAAAAACTATCACTTGAATGCAGAAGCAACAAGACATTAATTAAGAGATAATAATTTTCAAGGCTGATGGCCTAATTCTCCAAATTGTTTAAACTTCCATTTAGAGATTCCAAGGAAAGAAAATCTATCACTTGAATAAAGAAGCAAAAAGATATGAATTCAGACATCATCAACCTTAAGGTTGATAGGCTAGCTTTTAAAGTTCCTTTTAAATCTTTCATCATTTCAAAGCTGGAGTGGACATTTTGAAAAAGATAATCTGAATTTTGAAACTAGTTTCAAAGTAAATATCAGTTAAGGATTACATCTGTTGCAAAGATCTTTATAAAAAAATACAAACCATCTAACTAATAAGCAGCCTTAGACAGGCAATTCCATAACAGGCAAATATTGTCCCCATAAATAAAATCTGGTCAAAATGCAGAAATATATACATGTATAACATGTACACAAATGATAGGCATGATCAACAGTCAATAAGACTGTAAAACATAACTAACTCAATAAAGTACTTTAACACCAGTGGTGTGGGGTCCATATGTGCAGGGTGTGCACTGCACACCCTGGCAAAATTATGAGAGACAATAATTTTCTGCACCTGTCTTTATATGGTATATAGTAAATATTATTTATAATATATTCAAATATTATGTGGATTTGCTTGCTTGTATTCCCGCAGTGCCTGCGGTACTAGGTGCTGCATCACGTAGTGCGTTCAAAAGCAAACGAAAATAGGAGGTTTTGATGTGTACGCACTAATAGAAAATCACGCTTTATATGTATGGGCTACTGAAGAAGCACAGCATACCATAGCACTGAGGCAAGTGCAGCTATTTTTCCTGCACTTGGCATTCAGAATCATCCAAAGGAACGGTTTATTAAGCGTTGTTTTAGAGCGGGGACTTGCGTGCTGAAGCGCTTTTGGTTTTTTAACTGATTAACTGGCTATACGATTTTGCAGACGGTTAATGTTTAAATTTATATATTGCAAGATTTTAATTTTATGGAAATATAAAAGAAGTATTTTATCAATATAAAGGGAATGTTTTAGTGTGGTAAAGTAATTTCGGTGATGTGTTATATTTATAGAAATAATTCACTGAAAAACAATTTTGTTAGACAATTCCCTTAATCGAGGAAATTATATAGGATTAATAACTTTAATTAGTAAATATGATGACCTTTTAGCAACCCATCTAAGAACTGCAACTGTATTTTCTGGAACCTCTAATAGAATACAAAATGATATTATTGCATCGATAAAAAATATTGTAAATTCAGAGATCATTTTCAGCATTGAAAAGAGTAAAAAATTATGCATGCAATTTACAATGAGGCAGAATAGATTAAGCAATTTATCTCTAATAACAATAGAAAATGAAATGTTGCACTTATTACAGTCAAAACCAGAGTTTTATGATCATGTAATTGATGATTTTGTTAGTAATATGGATAGACGTATGGATTTTGTGTACAAATAAATAATAAAAAGTTAAAGAAGTGTTTAATGCACATTTTTTATGGTTTTATTATTATTGTTGTTGTTCTCTGCATAACCTGCATGAAAACCTACCGCACGCCACTGTTTAACACCATTGAGATGTGTAAATCAATCACAACAGCAACATTCAAACTCAGTAAAGTGAATGCAACTCAACCTAATTAACATACTTTGCATTAAGAGCCTTCAATCCTTCTTGGCCGAGGGCCACATCAATAAATTCGCAAAGATCTGCGGGCCACGTCTCTCAAAAAATTGTGTAGTCGGAAAATTTATATGAAAAAGGGAGGTTTCTTTTGCAAGCCTATGATTGATTCTAAGCAAAGAGATGGTGTTACACATTTGTATGTAGTATATACACTGGTTCCAAAAAGTCAAATGGAATTCGAATTAAAATCTTTCGCAACATTTTTAACTATGAAAAAAAGTATAAAGATGATTATACAGAACAAACAATGTTACAAAATACATTTATAATTAAAAAAGAAAAAAAAAAAAAACCTTACATTACTGTTGGGAGAGATGGTAGTTACTTTAGTTTTAATGTGAAATTTGACATTGTTTTTGCTTGTTTAAAGCTTCAATATCCTGTTTAATTTGTATTGCGCATTTCATAAAGTTTCCTCTAAATATCTGTCTGTCAGCCATGTTCTCGTTTTTCATTTTACTCAAACGTTGTTCACATATGTAGGTACTGCCAAAGTTAGAGAACATAAAGAGTAAATTTTTATGAATTCCTGGATACTTGTCTTCGGTTACGTACTTCGAATAAAAATCAATTAATGCAGGATTTTCAAGAAACTTGCATTTTACTGCAGAGTCCAATGTAAATCTATAAATTTTAATTAAAGTTCAGGTGGAACACTTCCAACGTCTACTGAAAATGTCGATGTTCTCATGAACATTTCGTTTTCACGAAAATCGGAAAATCTGCTTTTGAATTCCTTTTTCAACTTTGATATGCATTGTATATAATTATTTGAATTCCATGTTGTAGAGTTCTTCACACATTTCATCAGTTTTGGAAAGTGAGTGGAATTCTTATTTAGCAACTGACTTTCCCACAGGATTCATTTTGTCTCAAAAGCTTTCACAAAGTATTTTCCTAGTAAGCGGCAGTTCAAATCATTGAGATGACCTGTAATATCGACAAAAAATGCAAAGTCTCTCAACCATTTCTCATCACTGAAGTCGTGAATAAATTTCTTTTTAGATTCCATGAACTGTTAAAATCTGCTCTTCAAAGAAAACAGGCACCAAAGCAGCTTTCCTCGGCTCAACCAACGTACTTCCGCATTATACACAACGTCACCATGTTTAGCTTCAAAATCACTCAGTAACTGCTGAAATTGCCTGTGTTTATGTCCTTTAGACTGAATGAAATTACCCGCTTTTACAATAGAGATAAGAATAAACCCTTTTTATGAAATTGAGATTTTACGCATAATCAAATTTTTTATTTTTAAAATTACATAAAATAAAGTGAAATTTAAAAAAAAGTCATCATTTTTAGAAAATTTTATCTCAAATAATATCAGAAATGTCAATAAAATGTTTTAAATATCAAGAATAAGAGAAAATGAATTTTTTTTTAAGACAAAAAGCTGATAAGGCAATGTTTATTGAAATCAACTTTTTTTTTTCAATTATTAAATTTTTCTTCAAATTGAAATGTGCGGCCACTAAAATGCCTTCAGCGGGCCACTGGTTGAAGACCCCCTACTTTACATCATCATCGAATTTATTATTTTATCATGTCACTGTCACTGACCCCCCCTCCGCCCCCCTTTTTTTTACTGAAAACAAGAAGTTGACTTTTTTTTTTTTTTAAACAGCAAAATAATCAGTTGAAATACACCATTCCCCAATTAAAACATCATTTTATTTAATTTTCTTTTTTCTGCACTGAAACTTTACAATGGAATAATTGAGTACAACCCTTAGTACAAGAGCTTCGATTAACTGAAATTGGTAAATTTAAATATAAATAATGTTGGCAGGAAAAAAAACCTGGATGAAGAAAATACCTAAATTCTAAGAGATAAAAAATGTATAATATTTTTCACACAAATGTTACGGATTATTTTAACCCCCCATTTTTCACATTTTGGTGCAAATCTCAGTGACAAAAATAAATGCGGAAAATTTCCAAAATCATAAAAAATTATCTCTTCTGTACAATATAAAGAATAACAGGTAATATAAATAAACTATGGTATTTGCTATATCCTTTTTTCATACTAATATTGAGAATGAAAATAATTTCAGTATATAATGTTAATTAAAGATAAAAAAAAATAGAACATAGACATAATTTCCATCAATACCAAATCAAATTTTAATATAACAAACACTTAAAAAATGAAGCAAATAACTAGAATATTAAGAAAATACATCTATTAACTTCATTAACTCTACAGAGCAAAGCTTAGGCATAAAGTCTAGCAACAAGCAAAGCCAAATATTCTCATACTTGCATAGCTGATACACAGCAAAGTGTAACTTACTGGCTTTGCCAGAGTTATTGAATCCTTCGACAGCTTCATGAGCAAAAGAATAGAAATATATGAATAAATAATGAAATTTCAAAATAACCGATGGAACATACAAGTGTGCTGTACAATTTTCCACTTACTTGAAAATGAATAAACTACATCATTTTGAAACTACAAATTAACCACTTTAACTTAATAGATATAAAGCTTATTTTTAACTTAATAAATATAAAGCAGATATAATGCAATTAAATTAATAAAGGGAAAAAAAAAGATGTTTACGAAAATTTTTATAATCATTAAAAATATGACACACAAAATAAAAAACTTTTGAGATGAAATATCAGGTTATTCATACACAGCATGTTATGGTATACAGTAATAAACCTCACCATCAGCATCAATGCCACCTGCACGGAGCATAGCTTTTAATCGCTCAATTTCATCTTTAAGTTCTCGAATGAGTTTAGCATTTGCATCTTCATTAACAACAGCTTTGCAAACAATCTGCTTAGCACGATCAGCATATCTAAAAATTTATTATTTAAAAAATTATAATTTTATTATACAACATAATATCTATATACATCAGTCCTGTCACACAATTCCTCATTAAAGTAAATAGTAAATTTCATTAGCAAATTAAACTTTAACAATTCAATATACTTTATATTCTGTTGCATAATATACACTTTTAACACGAAAAATAAGACAAAAATTTACAGGTGTGTGTTATATGCAAGCTATAAAAATGATAGATTTAAAAATCAGATGAGCATACAAAAATTAGATTTCTACATGTACCTAAATGCTGTTTATTTCAAAGAAATGGCATACTTTATTACAACTTCAAAATTTTCATTATCTGATAACATGAAAAGTTTGTTAAATTACTTTTCTGTTATATCTTCAAGCCCATTATCGACTTATATCTTCATCACCACTGTTACTCCGATCCATAAAAAAATAATCATATTCCATTCCAAATAGATTATTAGATGTACTACATTTTTTAAAATAACTTTTGAATTATGTCTTTTTATTATCCACCATATTTCTAGACTGGCATGATGCTTCTGGCCTACTTTTGTAAATATTTTTTCACCTCCTAACATCCACATATTCCACTATTGTTTTACAATTTCTTTGAATGGTTTATTGATGCACACTCATCTAAAGTTTGATCTAATGACATTAATCTGCCTGGAATAACTACCATGTCTGTATAATACTTTTTCAACAATTTCTTTATATAGTTCATTAAAGATGGGATCTAAATATGTCCCAAACTAAAAGACTTTCTGGATTCTTTAAGGAAACAATTGCTTCTGAAGCCTTTGCAAAACGTTTTTTCCCTTGTAGAACTAAATTATTCCATGCCATAAACTGACTACAGCAATTCAAAGTTGCTTTAAACTTTCATTCACATTCTTTTTTTGCTCACATAAAGGCAAATAAACATACACAGTTTCTTGTTACAATTAATCTATTCTAGTAATTTTGTAGGACCCAGTTCGCAACCCTTTCTTCTAGGATACATCATTTCATTACTTCTTTATACAAAGTATTTTTATTTTCTTTGGCATATTGTGATTTCATTTTTCTCCCATTCACATATGGAGCTTTCATAAACAGCTAACACCTTTGCTAGTTCAATTTTCTTTTTTAAATGTAATGACTAAATAAATTTGAAACTCAGCACTATTTTTGTTTCAATTGGCCTGAGCCATATTTACTACTAAAAGGAACACTAAATCAATTGTACTTCAACTAAAGCAAATGTAATTTACTAAAGCTTTCGATATCCACTTCCAAATCATGGCTTAACATCACCACAGAAATAGACAACATCCAACTCTTAATTCTGCAAATCATTCGAATTGGAAGTTTACCCCAAGTTTTGTTAAACTTTTCTCAAAAATCTAGAATAATATTCTCATGCACACCACCTGCATTGAATAAAACTCACCCTCTTTCCTGAATTATTTACTATCTTAAGCATTTCACACACACATATATTGCTTCCCTCATCACTTCCTAATTCACAGTATACCACTGTTCAAAAGCCTGCAGAAAATCTTTGAATAAATGACTTCAAAAGATTGTCAAAAGATTCAAAAGATTGCATTGTGCATGTAACTTTCAAGTTTCTCCATAAAGAAAAGGGTGCATGTTATATGGCAAATATACCTAACAATTAAAAAATGTAGGTTGAAATTACAGGTGCATGCTAAACACAGGTATACAGTAATTTTTAAAGGCTGAATGCCTTTCAAGAGATAAATTTTCTGGTTCAAATACAGTCAAAAGTCGTTAATTCGGACACCCATAATCCGGACCTCAAAGCTACAAACTTTCTGCGCATGCTTCGCGTTCGCGCATGCGCACAGGCGTTTACGAGAGCGCGTAAGACCCTTACGGCTGCGAATATGTTTGTACGCATGCGCGTTTAATGTGTAACGGAGTTATACGCTAAGCTAAAGTTATCTAATTCAGTTAATGTTGCAGATTGCGTTGTTCCTTAATCTTCGAATTGGATCCGGCTTATTATTTTTTGCAGACTGTTAGAGCAATTTTATAAAATTAAGCTTGAACTTTCGATTATGTCAAATAGAATTTCCGATATATATTTACTACAAAGCGAAAGTATGTTTTGAAATCCGAAATCTGTTTATCAATTTCACGCTGCTCTGCGGCAGAGGGGGGGGGGAGAAACGTCATTATTAGATTATGATAGATTAGAAAGATTATGTCAAATAGAATTTCCAATATATATTTACTAATATGTAATTTGTATCTACAAAGCGAAAGTATGTTTTGAAATCCGAAATCTGTTTATGAATTTCACGCTGCGGATTGGAAGTTGATCTGTCAACACTATCCTTATCTTCAGAGCAGATGTTTTTATTTTATTTGGATTATAATTCGGTACTAAGTTTAGTATTTCGTCTCATGTACTCCGTCTTTGATATGATTTAAATCAAGTTCCTCGTCATTATAATTCGCTTCCGATAGTGAAGAAAGCGACCCAGAGGTTATTGAAAACGAAAACATTTCGATTGACAAATTAGTCGGTATTCTCAACACAGCAATTATAGGACTTGAACAGCGGAGCTTTGTAACTAAACAAGAAATTATGTCTGTTTAATGGAATTAAAGAGAAAGTATTATCACATGAAACGAAGCAACTTACATTGAAGGAAATGTTTAATAAAGGAAACAAATAAATATTAAGCTTTTTCTTTTTGTAAATTTTGATAACCTTTAGATCATAATTGTTCTTTATTTCATAAATTACGGTTTTACATTTTTAATTTTGTAATTTTTGCATGCCATCTTACCAGATTTAAACTGATGATCTATAATCCGGAAAAATCGATAATCCGGAATCGCTGAAGTCCCGGCGAGTCCGGATTAACGACTTTTGACTGTAATACAATTAGGCAAGCATTAAAAATTACTAATGGAGGACAAGAAATAGCAGTTAGTAAGCAAACTGATAAGTATTAAAAGTTACTATAAGCTGAAATGTAGGCATTAGGAAATATTACAAAATATAGTTATTAGTATCATTTACACTATAAGCAGATAAATCATAATTTCATAATCCTGATGCTATACCTACAAATCATTAAAGACTGGATACGTGGATTTTTTAATGTTAGGTGAATGATTAAACACATAAATAACCATAATTTTAAGATATTTTAGTTCCATAATGTAAAACAGTTTAAATTCCATTCATGCCCTAACAAACATTTTACATAAGCAATATCAATTTCCATTAAAATATTTTTAAGATAAAAATTCTCACTATAAAAATAAATACAGATGATCCTCACTTTATGAACTTTGAACTTTGCAGATACAAACAAATTTATTCTCAAAGAATGAAATATGTTCGGAATCTCACTTTTTTTTTATTTATGTTTTTGGGGTCAAAACCAAAATCTCATTTATTTATGACAAATGAAAAGAAAATCTGTTCAAACAAGTTTAGACACATAATTTTTTAAGAAATATTTGTTGCAGGACCATCTAATATGCCATCTCCTTCCACCTCTCACACAGCATCCTCTTTACTAATGTCACCTTTATTTCTTGATGAATCTTCAAAGTATGAGTCAGATATTTTCTCAGCTACACTCACATAAAGATCTGCTTGCCTCATCCTTCACCCCATCCTCAAAGGCGACAATCCAATAGCTCTCATCTCATTAACATCATTAGGAGATAGGCACTGCTAAGAACATTTTACGAACAGATTCATGGTACAAATGTTCATTTGCAATAAAACTTGCTAGTAAGGTTATCAGCATCTGTATTTTAAAACAAATGCCACTATAGCAAAATAAAATGTAATTATGTGTTAAGCATTAGTCTTGATTATTTTTTATAGAGAATTTTCAAGGCACATACCATTAATTTCTGAGAGCTTCCAGTTGGAATTGGTTTAGTATTTCTATACTAATTACACTAAAAATTCAAAATTAAATATATATCTAACAATTATATATTTAAAAAGAAATTAACACTTACAAACAGTGCCAGAAGAAAATATTATATACTGCAGAAAAATAATATTAAAATCTTAATTTTAGAAAACTGTTATTCTGGAATGCATCATATATTCAAATAAGAACTACAGAAGCTGTTCACACACATTTAAAATACAGTTAAAAGTCGTTAATCCGGACACCCATAATCCAGAATGATCTATAATCCAGACCTCAAAGCTACAAACTTTCTGCGTATTCATGCATAATGCGCTCACGCATGAGCATATGCGTGTGCACATGCACATAATACGTTTACGCATGCGCATTTAATGTATAACGGACGGTATAAGCTAAGCTAAAATTATCTAATTATCTATTTCAGTTAATGTTGCAGATTGCCTTGTTCATTATTCTTCGAATTGGATCCAGTTTATTATTTTTTGCAGACTGTGAGAGCAATTTTATAAAAGTAAGCTTGAACTTTCGATTATGTCAAATAGAATTTCTGATGCTGGAGCCGCCAAAGGATCTGCAAAACAAAAGCATGTTTCAATGTCCATTAAACAAAAAGTAGAACTGCTCCAAAAAATGGATAAAAGCATGAAGAAAGTGACAGAGAGGTGATTTGTTTCTTTAACCATTCTGAAATCTGTTTATCAATTTCATGCTGCTCTGCGGACAGGGGGGGGGGGACATCACGACACGCAATGAACTGGACGTTGATCTCTCAGCACTATCCTCATCTTCAGGGCAGATGTTTTTATTTTATTCGGCGTATAATTCCTCACTAAATGTAGTGTTTCATCTCAATGTACTCCGTTATAATTTAAATCAATTTCCTCCTTATTATAAATATCACGAATACAAATCAAATAGTTTTCTGGTTGCAATTTTCTAATTTCGACTATGCGTAATGTATGCTTTATGCATGCGCGCGTTGAAAGAAATATTTAATAAAGTAAACATATAAATATTAAGCTTTTTTCTTTAAATTTTGATACCCTTTAGATCATAATTGCTCTTTATTTCATAAATTATGGTTTCATATTTTTAATTTTATAATTTCTGCATGCCATCTTACCAGATTTAAACTGATGATCTGTAATCCGAAAAAAAAAAAAACCGATAATCCGGAATGGCCGAAGTCCTGACGAGTCCGGATTAAAGACTTTTGACTGTATCTTCAATTAAAAAATAAAAATTCTGAATGTCTTCAAAATTATTTTGCATCATTTTGAATCTTAACTGTTCTCTGATGAAGCCAAAATTGTTTTACAAATAGCTCATATAAACAGATTTTGATTCAAACACTATATTTCTATTCTTCCTAAAAAGCAGAAATTTATTCTGTGACTTAAAATCATTGTGAAATCACAGAATCAACATTTTTAAATGTATAATAAAAAATTTTATACTAAATATAAAAATAAGAAAAGAAAATCTGAACGATTTCAGATTTTAAATAATATCTAAAAGTGTTTTTTTTTTTTTTTTCATTTTGTACGTTACTTTTATTTATTAAATATTATATCCTTTGCACTTATACCATAAAATTCAGTTCAAAAGCAATATCGCAAAAGAATTTTAAATTGAGCATATATTTAGAATTTCCAATACACAGTCTCACGTGCTGGAGATAAAAATGTTTTTTCTGTACAACATTGCCATTGCTTGCTTTGAAATCCTTGAGCTTGTTAATCAAACATTTGTTAAAGTTCTACAAAATATGAAATGGATCATAAAACAAATTCCAAATTTCAAATTTGCGCTTACAGATACCCATATTCACAGTAGGATTATACCATTCAAAATTCGATGGCACTACGTACCGTTTTTTTTATCACAATGCGAGAAACCTACATACATTTATGCAGATTCTTCATTATTTAATTCCTTCGAATATAATACAGGGCAATAATATTTGGTGGCAACAGTTTGAAAAGTGAGACGGACATTCAGATTCAATGCAAAATCGCAAAATGAAAAGAATAGACCCTCAGGGACAAATCTCATTTGAAATAACAAGCATTGCTTTTACATTGGGTGAGGACAATGAATATCTGAAGGAAGATTACATCTGAAGAAAACAAAGTTTTAGCTTCAACATTTAAAGACAAAATTATATTTCTTTATCCACTAAGTTCTTCATGAAAACAACTCCATCACAGTAATACTACAAGGCATACATCTGAAACTGCTGTTAAATTTTTTGAAAAAAGTGACAAAAGAGGTAGGCATCAAAATTCTATTTTCTGGTCATATTCGTTTAACCTGTTGACTGCCATGGATGAACATACTCATCAGTACACCAGAACATTTTTTTTGAAAACAGTATCATATATTAAGTAATTATCATAGATTATAAAGAGTGTGTTCATTTAAGATTGCCCTGTGCATTATTAATTGCTTCAAAAATTTTCATATTGAGTTAAATTTAGTGGAAGCCCCCCCCCGGGGGGAAATGGGAAAGGAAGCAGTTGTCTACAGTGTAATGTTTACTAGGAAAAATTTTATAAATTAATTAATTTTTTAGTGTTATGCACACCACTAGTATCACATGTTAAAAAAAAAAAAAAATCCCCAGCAGTGGGCAAAGAGTGGAGAAAGAAAACTGTGGCTGTCAAGAGGTTGAAGTCCTCTTATACTTCACCAACAGATTGTTTTGATTTTGTAGTAATAAAAACAGCACTTTCGGAATGCAAACCTACATACTGGATGGATAATAGAAATCAGCAAAATACTGCAAATATCCATATCAAATGCTTTCTTATTTAGAAATCAAAGTTTAGAATTATAACCCAGATAAAAGACCCATACGTAGAACATTTAAGGTACAAACAGATTTGTTTAAAACATTAATTATAACACAAAAAATTTCTCTCACAATGTTGAAATTTGCATTCCTCACATTTGCGATTGCACTGAGCAGAAAAGGTCAACTATAGCAGAAGTAGAATCCTCCCGACGAAGAGAGAAAGAGTGTATGGTGTCAACTGAGTGTCCTTCCAGTTCTGCTGAAGACTATGTCCTTCTGATGCTGCTGAAGACTGTGTCCTTCCTGATATCCCTATTTGGGGTGTTTGTAAGGTGGCCAGTAGCCGTGATTCTTTTGAGCATGTTTCGGCAATGTAGTCCTAACATGGAATATTGCAGTGGAAGGCTACATTCTAATAAGAGTCTAGCCCGAGTATTCTGGATAGTTTTACTACATCACCAAGTACTTGCCTGACTGAATAAACTGTTAAGCAGGCTCAAATCATGTTGTACCAGTCAAATACAATCGCATGTTATCCATCGTACGATTTCACTAATATGTCATAGTCTGACAAGATATGTTCATCTATTTTATTAAACTTAAGGAAAGTTACCAATTAAATCTTATGTTTTCAACTTAGTGCAATTTGTACTCCTTTAGGAAGAGAACCTTGGTTCTACACGTACTACTGCATTTAACTCTCAAGGTCTTTTAAAGAACAAAAATTTCAAAAACAACATGGTACACAGTATATTACTTAACAAAATATTAATATGCATATTATGACAATAATGCATACTAAAAAAATGACAACTAAAAGCTATCATGAAAAGAAAATTTTATTAATAGACTTACCTCAGAGTACTTAGTGTTTCATCATAATTTATATCAGCTGGACTAATTGCAGCAATCATAGCAGTTTTAGAATTTCCACCTGGATAAGCAAGACATATCAAAATACAGTAAAACTTTAAAATAAGTTAATTAATTGCATTTTAAAAGAACTTATAATTTCCTGATAAATATACAAAAATAATTTCTCAGGAATCAAGAAGATTTCAAAGGATTTACTCAACAGCTGACAATGAAAAAAAAAAAAAAAAAGATATAATCATTGCTTTTCTATGACTTGGAAAAGATTTCAGCTGAAACAATTAAAACTCGGTAAAATTACTCAAAAAATAGATTTCAGACAACAAATATATATTCCAGAGTTACACATAACTAGAAAAAGATTTTTTTTCAAATTAAAATGTGCTGTCACTGATTTAGTATTGAAGTTAAAATAATGTGTGATTAAATTATATTTTCTGCAGCTCTTATATAGAAATCAATCTTAAAACTTTCCATTGAAATATGAATTAAAAAATTGAATTTTTTTCACCACGAGAAGAGACTCACGATTCATCGTCAGAAAGGGAGTGAGAAAACATCACTTAATGGTCTCTTGAACACTTTCTCACTCCCCTTCTTAATTTATTCAAAAACAATTCTCAATTATTTGTGAAGCCTTCTATGTTTATCAAAATCTATTAAGTTTACATGATAATTTCAAGTCTGGTCTTTAAAACCAAACTATGACTTTACATTTGATTTCATGCATCTGTTCCCTTTTTCTATCCTTTTAGACTATCAATGTTCTTTCTTTCTTTTCTTTTTTTGAATGTATTATAAACATTTTTATTTGATAATACAAACTAATAATTTTATGAACACTCCTACTTTGTCAAAATCTACAAAATTTATTTAATATTACAAGTCCCGTTTTACAATTTCTGTCACTTTTTTAAATATTTTATTTAGAGTAACCCCTTTTTGTTTTTCTTTATAAAATTTTTTATAACAATGTATTCTAAATATCTGAATTTGATAATGTAAATTTAAATTTTAAAAAGTAACAAGGAATCATACCAAGATTTTCTCGTAATAACCATGTTAAAGCAGAATCACGGTATGGAATAAAATCAGCTTTTTTCTTCTTTTTAGTTGCCTAAAAATTTAATAAAAAATATTTTAAATCAATAAACAGTTTTGATGAATTCAATAAATAAATAAAAGTCTAAAAAACCTAAATGTATATTTTAATATGCTTATTTATTTATTTAAATTAGTTAAAGGTAAGCTTCTTTTATACTTACAGCCTTCATAGTAAGCACACAAATGAAAAAAAGGAAAGAATTAGAATGCTTATAAGTTCAAAACGTAATCAATAATAAAACCCTAATATAAGCATTAAATTAAGAATTATATTTTTTATAACAAACTATCATTATAAGACAAGTAATAATTTTATTGATTAGAAGAGCTTATCTGTGCTTTATTATTTTATGAAATGTCACAATTAACCCTCTGAGTTGCATGACTGCCTTTATACAGTCATCAGATTTTTTTAACACTTCGTATATAATAAAAGTTTATAATTTAAAATATGTAGCTTTCTTACTTTCTTTAATGATGAAAATACCATCTTAATGAATGGAAGTTTATGATATCAGAGACTAAAACAGGCAATTATTCAAATTTAGCTAGCCCCACCCCCCCCCCCCCCCCCCCCCCTCCCCCCCCCCCCCCCCCCCCCCCCCCCCCCCCCCCCCCCCCCCCCCCCCGAAAAAAAAAAATTCTGTGCCACAACAGCTCTAGTGGGCCGCAGCCTGCAGTGCCCCGAAATCTGCTTTCTTGACCTTGGGCTCCGGAGTGCATCAGCATATACCCTGGGCAAGTGTTCAGCCTGTCACATGACCCCCAGTGTTTAGTTCTCAAGCGAACTTGGTACTCATTTTATTGACCCACTCAAGGGATGAAATGCCAACCTTGAGTCAATGGCAAGGCTTAGTCAACCTCGCCCAGCCCGGGGATCAAAGTCCGGACCTGTGGTGCAGCTGTGTGATGCACTAGCCACTTTGCCACCGGGAGGTCTTTAAATTTAGCAAGTGCTGTTTAAATACAGGTCTCCTTGAATAGATTCAAAAAGCAGGTCATTCAGAGTGTTAATCATAATGTTCAAACAAATAATTTATGTAAGAAGCCAAATAAAATAAATTACATTGATTTAAAAAAATTCAGTAAATTTATTTTAATACTCTTTAGCTAACAGGAGACAATTTAGCACAAAATGTAAATGTCTGCATGAAATCTATAAATAGGCCTAGCAACTCTAACAATGCATGCAATTAGCATAAAAGAATGTCAATTCAGAATAAACATAATTCCCACATGCATAAGGAAAGGAGTAAAAATGAGATTTTACAACATTAATTTTAGATTTCATAGGAGTCTGCCCATTTAACTTAACACTGCTAAAAACTTTTGTGTTTTCTCATACAACTGATCCAAAATGAATTCAATTCAGTAAAATCTAGATAGTAACAGTAACAGATGATACGCAGTACTGATTTTATTTTGCCATTTTGCATTTTCATACTGATCCTTACCCCAAAAAACGAAACAGCTCTGGATGACAAAAAAACCTATCCATTTTCCTATTGAAAATGCTAAACTAAAGTACTAAAACATCGCAAGCTTGTACTTAGGGACTGAATAGTTACTTTTACATTAAATTGTCACAAACGAATAGAGTTACTTTCACATTAAATGTTACAAAAAATTAGCACCTATTCAGCAATAAAAAAATGTAAAATTAAATTCATTAGCATCCCTTAAATGATTTAACTGGATTCTGTAAGCATTATTTTTATATTCTTATTTCTTAACACAAACGAAGGCTTACACATATGAAGTTACAGCTTAATATTATATATTTATAATACTATTTCATTTTATACCTGGCTACCATAGTTCACCCTTACTTAAAAAAAACTACTTTTAACAAATGGATTAGCCTCTAATAAACTATGTACACATAAATTCAATACATTTTCTACATGATTTATTTATTTTAATATTTTTTATGTAATTCATTTACAAATTTTTTTAAAAAATGAAATTCAAATCCTGTTGCCATTTATTAATGCTAATAATTTTATTATATGTAAATAGAGATGACATTCGATTACTGAAATATATTATAATTTTAAGTTTAGCTAAGTATTACTAAGTATAACACAAAGATATCATAAAACACATTTTTTATAAGTTATAAAAATAATGTGGAACTGAATAGAATAATGTATAGGCTATCAGAAGGTAACTAGAACAAAAATTCAATACTTTACAAAGCCATTTAATAAAGTACCAGTAATTGACAGTAATTAAATAATTTAAAATACCAGTAATTGACAGTAAAATTATACCAGTAATTAAATAAAGTGAATTAAATAAAACATACTAAATTTCCTCACATAATTATATTAATTTATTTTATAAACGCACATTCTTAAAAATGCTCAAATTCCTGCTTGAACCAATTTCTCAAATTCTGATTAAAAATTATGACAGTTATTTCTAATTTCTTAATTTAACATTCATTTATATACATGGTTGTAATGAAAGTTTTCCTTCAAAAAACATTCTTAATAAAGTTAGGGGGGGGAAATGAAGGCAGTAAGTACCTTTAGTACAGATAGTAACCACCACCCAAAATCTATAATTTCTGCCAATGTTTTGGTAGTTTTTCAGAGACTTTGGCTGCAGAAACTCAGCGGCCGCAAGTCCAAAAACAGATAAACCTCATTTTGAACATCCTGTGCAGAATGGAAGATAGCAGCAGCAAGATTCTGCAGGTGTGATTCTATAGCTGCAGGTGTGAAAAATAGAAGTCCGAAGGAGTGATGTTGGGGCTTTTTGGTGGGATCCCATTTGAGTCCATTTGAGATCCCATTTGAGTCCATACAGATTCCAGTCAATGAATGCAGACATATGTAGTCTTGTGTTATCTTGATGGAACATTATTTTTTTATACGAGAACTCAATTCTAGATTTATCCTTGATAGCAGCATCAACATGGACTAGCATCTCGCTGTACACTTTATTGTCCTGGGTTTTACCTTCTTGCAGATACTCGTTGTGGATAATACTATAGCAATTCCGCCAGATACAAAGCATGATCTTTTTGTCAGTCAAATTGCAGTTTGCGACACTGACAATGGGCTCACCGGGTGCAGACGAACCCTCTTGTGCTATTGAAGTAAATCCACTTTTCATTACAAGTGATGATCCATTCCAGAATTTTGTCTTTGCATTAATATTCAAGCAGATTAGTGCATGCCTGAATACGCTGTCCTTGTCTGCTTAAGTCAGCCCATGTGGTACCCAGCGATTGACCTTGTACATCATGTTTATGTGATGCATAGTGTGACTAATGGACATGGCACTAACATCTAACTCCTTAGCAAGCAATTGAGTTGTTGCATACTGATCTTCTTCCACAAGTTCTCGCAGGCCGGCCACAGCATTCTACTCCTTGAATGTAATAATCCTTGTTTTTGAACTTTCAGTATCAAACTTTCATAGTGTCATATGATAAAACATTAGTACTTAAAGCTATTCACATGATTTAATGACAATCTGTGGCTGATTTTTTGCAACAGAACTGGAAGTAAATGATAGTTCTAATCTGGTAGCGTAATAGTTCTATTTCAGACACATAATGTACCTAATGATAATGATATTTTTTTACAAATTTCAACACACAATGTTCTAAAGCAAGTCTCTTTCAAATGCCAGAAATCATTTGACAAAATATGATCAAACATGCTAACATGAACTGTTTGTGCAAACAATTTTTGCAGAGGCAGAAAACTTTCGTTAAAACCCGCTAAACATATAACATACATATACACATATATTAAAAATTATTTTCTTAATTTATAGCAGGAAAAACAATTTCGCTTACAATTTCAGCTAAAGCAGATATAACTTTTCCCAAAGTAGTCAGAGATTTGTTTATGTTTGCTCCTTCCTTTAGACGAGTTCCTTGCGCTCCAGTGGAATCTGCTCGCTCACTTCCTGCTAAATCAACCAAACTGATTTTGCTGACCTAATTTGAAAGGGAGAGGTATTAAACATGCAAAATTTATTAATATAACACTATTTAAAACTTAAAATACGAGAACACCTTTATTATAAATTTAAGTACAGTAATACAACATGCAAAAATTAAGAATGAGCAAAACAATTCTTCATTACGTCATTTAAAATTTCAAAACAGTTTGAACTATATATAAATATATTCTCTGAAAATAATATTCAAGTATACAGCATTTTAATGTCAATTTAATAGTTAACAAATATGTTATTACTGCGAATGATAAAGACTATACCTCAAGTTCTGGAATGTGTGTATTAAAGACTACTTTGCTAATTTTACATGTACTATAGAGTAATTTCTTAATAAAACAAGTAAGTTCTCATTGAGGGAGGGGCAGTAAAAACATGTATTTAAAAAATATATTAAAAAATTAAAGTGCTAACAAGTTTCATTTTGACATAATTTTACTTTACCTTTTCAGCAGTAAGACCACTGCTCTTGTCATGTTTCCTCTGCGTAAAAATAATTGTAAAAACAGCATGAGATCGACTACTAGTTTCATTCATGTTAGTAGCAGCAACAGTCCTAGAAATGTCACAAATAATAATTCCGATATCATAATTTTTATAATTATATTAATTCTAAAATTTAGAAAATAATTGAATAATACTTTGACATTAGCATATGGACAAAATCTATGCAATGCCCAATTAATAATTTATACAAACAACAATAAATATAGCATATTTTTAATGAAAAAATTTATTAAATTAAAGAATGTTATTAATAGGATAGTTATGAGATTTAATTTTAAAGAAAACATCCCATTCAATATGCAAAATGAGCCACTGACTGTAATTAACATAATTATCATTGCAGGGAGTTTCCTTCTACTCCAATAAAATTCTTTAAGAAAAAATTCGAACAAAATAATTACCTCTTTTTACACCTAAATAAGAAGGAGTTATCAGATAATTATAAGACAGATAATACCTAGAAAATAACTCATAAAAGATTTCTTTCATTTATAATTTTTTATTTAAATAATATAAATACTTTTATTATTTCAATTCCAGCAAAATGCTTATAATAGAAATATTAACTTAATAATAAAGATGAATTTTTCACTTTCCTTGTTTTTAATACAGTAACTTTTCTACATAAAGAATGGAACAAAATAGTACTTAGTTTAAACATAAGCAAATTTTAATGAGTATGTTATTTTTTATAATATGAATTCTATGTGTAGAATAAAATTCCAATGAATGAGATAAGGAACTGCTAGTGTTCTTGAGTAAATACATCATGAATCACATGATTTACTTTACTATTTTGAACACATTTTATAAGAGTGCTATTACATTTGTAAGGGGTGCATGCACTAATTAAACTTCTCAAAAAGCAAAGTAATGAAGTAATGAATTACTATCATTGAAATTCTCCTGTAACAAGATGATTGTTTCCTTACATTCTTTATTTTTGACTCTACCTACACCCTGAATTTACAATCTGATGCATTCTATTATAATTCATTATAAGACATACATATTTCTAAACTATTTTATACTATCTATGTTTTACATAAAAGATTCATTCATTTACATAGGGACAGAGATTCAATTATTGGTTTTCATAAACAAAGAATCACATCATATAATTTTTCAAGTAAACATTTTTTAGGCATACTATTAATAAAATATTAGCAATTTCAAAGTTAGCATGATTGATTAAATTTGAGATTTAATCATACAAATTTACTAACAGATTTCACACAGTTTTATAAATTCAGATTAAAAGAAATCAATTTACCTTGCCTTGTTTCCTTCATCCATTAAATCATGAATATCTTGATAAGAGGTAACAGCAAGTTTTGACAGATCTTCAACATATGGGCCCAATAAAGGATGTTCTCTGACTCTGAGATTATTTTTATTTTTAGGATTAAGAAGATCCCGTACTCTTTCACAGTATATTTCCATGTAACTTACCTAATTGAAAACATTGACAATAATATTGTGAGTAAAAGATATAATAATAATTCAGTTAACAGTTGAGATTAACAATCAATTTAAAATCAAGCAAAATTCAATTTTATATTAGCATTAATTAAAAAATAACTCAACATGTTACACAGGGTGTGAATCAGAAGTTTCAAAATTGGTTCACTTCTGAGTAGGGGAGCACGCACGGGCCGGTTCCGCCGAGTGGGGGGTCTCAGGGAATGAACTAACACTGCAGCAGTTGCCTCCGGAACACTTGAGAGTACGCATCGCTTGCAGCGTGAGTGCGTGTCATTGACCTCGGTTGAAAAGTGCGAGAGGCAAAAATGGAGCAGCACTTGGAGCAACATTATGCTATTAAATTTTGTGTGTGATTGAACAAAATCACCACAGAGACTCTCGGTATGATTCAAGAGGCCTTTAAGGAAGAAGCCATGTCCCATGCAATGGTATTCATGTGGCAAAAATGTTTCAAAAATGGCCACGGAAATGTTGAAGACGACGATCGCTCTGGGAGGCCATCATCAAGCCAAACGGATCAATATGTAGAGAGAGTATGGGAACTTTTAAACAATCATCGTCATCCTACTACCAGATTAATTGCCGGATGAACTGAGACTCAGTCAGAGTACGATGTGGAGGATTGTGACGGAGAATTTGATGATGCAAAAAGTGTATGCCAAACTGATACCAAAAGTTTTGTCAGTGGATCACAAGAAACGGCGCATGACTGTTTGCCACGAAATGCTCCAACGGTTGAATGTTGATCCAAACCTTCTGGAGAAAGTGGTTACTGGTGATGGGACCTGGGTCTACGAGTACGATCCTGAGTCAAAGCGTCAAAGCTCAGAATGGCACACTGCATCCTCGCCGAAGCCCAAGAAAGCTCGCATGAGCAACTTGCGTGTGAAGTGCATGCTGATTTATTTATTTATTTATTTATTTATTATGGTAAAGAAGTGATTCACAAGGAGTTTGTTGATTGTGCACAGACTGTTACAGGTGACTTTTACCCTGGAGTGCTCCACCTCTTGAGGGATTGAGTCCGCCCGGCGATCAAGGGCGATTGTATTCTCCACTACGACAATGCGCTCGCTCACACACTGCTGCCGAAGTTTTGGTCAAGTTCAACGTGACAACATTGCCGCAGCCGCCCTACAGCCCCGACTTGGCTCCAAGTGACTTTTACCTCTTCCCCCGAATCAAGACAGGCCTAAAAGGGAAGCGATTTGACTCCATCGACGCCATCCAGCAGGTTCAACGAGAGCCCTTGACAGCATTAAGCCCGAGGCCTTCCACAAGGGCTACGAACAGTGGAAGATGTGCTGGCAGCGCTGTGTTGATGCTGAAGGATCATATTTTGAAGAATTTTAGTCCACTGTAGTTTAATGTCCAATAAATAGTTCTGAGGTAAGTCTTGAAACTTTTGAATCACAGCTTGTAAAAGAGCTCGAGACCAGCCTATTTGCCACAGAGCATTCTATATATTGCATTTATATTAATTCCATTTTATCTATTTAATTTTATCATTTTATCTATTTATCATTGCTATTTAAGCAATGTCTGGAAAATGGCACATAAAAGTTTTACTCTCTTTGAAGAAGAAAAACTTGCCTACAATATGTTCAAAATGCACAGACATTTATCTGATTAAAATTAGAATTCCCCCCCCCCTCAACTGAAGAGGATATGTGGCAATTATCTTGAAATGCATGCAGATTTCCCTAAAATAAACACAAATCTAAGACTGAATTGAAATCTTATTCTAAACAATTTCTAATTAAACTATGATACATTTTAAGAAATATGACGACATCATAAAAGCACATGAATTGAGTACATGAAAAATGCAAGATTAAGTGCATAATAAGCTATTTTTCCCCACCTCCACTGAATAAAGGGTATCATCATTTTGGGCGTCTTTAATTTTACGAAAAAGGTCTTTGCAGATATGAGGAATTATTCCTTCTTGGCCTTCTTCCTGTTTACCCATCATGGTATAACTTTTCCCTGCTCCTGTTTGACCATATGCAAAAATGCATACATTATACCTGAAAGACATAAAGTAGTTCATTAATGCCTATTGTAATAAATTCTATTAATATCTTTAATAATTCTATTAATATATATTAATATCCAATATTCTATTAATAAAGTTGAATGTATAATAAACAATTCAATGTGATAAAAACTGAACAGAACTTCTATTAAGAAAATATCTTTATTCTCTCATTTGTACAGTGTTTTTCATAGCCACCTAAGTATCCGACTACTTTCCAATCATCATTTTAGATGAAATTTTTCAAAAACTTTTTATTACTTTATTTTAAAGCTTATACATAAAGCTTTCAACTACTTTGCCTCTTTGGCCATTAGAACCTGAATTATGGCTGTTCTTGTTGTATGCCATGAACTGGAAGTTTCTGTTTAAGAACCCGAAAACTGATATAAAGGTACACAGACTACTTTAAATAATTTTTAAATGAGAATTTATCATTTGAATGCTTTTGGTGATGTTTGAAAGATGATTTTGAACTTTTATATTTAATATTGGTAACAAGATTAGTTAGGTCATTTAATTTTCATACTTAGCAAAATTTGCTTTTTCTTTTTTCATATTTGCATTACATTAAACACAATTTTTTTCCTTTGAAAAACTTGACATTCTAACTTTTCTGTTATGAAAAAATTTTTACTTAAAATACTATTATAGTAATTTTATGAAACCTTTCTTCTTTATTTTCACATATAGTCTATGAAATATTGTGAATTAAATAAATTAAAAGTTTAGATTTATATACATATCTAAAAATTTTCAGACAATTTTAATAGAAATGAGAGAAATTTCTCAAAAAATAGCTAGTGCATGTACTCACACAGGTATATTTATTAGACGTTTTACTTTATCACTTAGACTTTAGTCTATTAATTCCTTATACCTTAATAAATATAAATAATAAATATTTTTTGTGGGAACATATCTAGTAATCATAAAATTTAACACATTTTTAACCCAAAGATGAAAGGAAAAAAAAAAAAAAAACTAAATAATTTGTTAATATGTTTATCACCTGTTTTTATCATTGTAAGTAAAATTTCGGCAAATAACACCACCAATAGATTTATTTGCACTATTTTCCAACATTTAGTTGTTGAACATAGTTGGATACCTTATGAGAAAAAGGGAAGGGGAGAAATTTTATATCCTTTGCATTAAACATTTCATAAATTCACCAAACAATAAACAAATATCAAATGATGCACGCTGAACTTCAAACCTGTTTCTATCTATAAAGATGAAAATTGTTATGACTGATTATACACTGGTGTGCAAAAATTAAGGACGAAGTCGAAAAATTAGCATATCAGCTGAACGAAGAGGCAGAGCAGACAGAATGACCAATCAGGAGATTAAGTAAGGTGATGTACGGTAGCACATGCGCAGATATGCAGGTAGATGTAATGGGGGAGTGTCTGAGTAGTATAAAGCATGTTGTCGGCATAAGATCAGTATTTCTGGCAAAGAGATTGCACGCCATGTAGCAGTTAAAATCACACCGAGTTGCTGCCTCAGCGTGAAATGGCAAATAATCAATCTGTTAGACAACATCTGGACGCTTTTACCCGAGGTCGAATCATTGGGAAGTTGGAGGAAGGCCGCAGTGTGACAAGTGTGGCTGCAGAGTTCGGAATTGCTCACAGCATCGTTTCACGACTTTGGAGACAATTTCAAACTACAGGAACAGCTATCCGGGGGTTTAATAGTGGTCGTCCACGAGGAACCACACCCACAGATGATCGGTATATTGCCTTACAGGCCAGAAGAAACAGGCGGCAGACAGCGGGAGAAATCGCTAGACACATTACACAGGCGACTGGACGACCGATATCGCGTTTTACGGTGGCCAGAAGACTGCATGGTGGTGGTCTGTTTGCACGACGCCCTGTACGGTGTGTACCTCTAACACCTGCCCATCAGAGAAGACGTTCTCTGTGGTGCTAGGAACACCGGAATTGGAGAGACAATGAATGGGGATGAGTACTCTTTACAGATGAGAGCAGATTCAGTCTGAGTAGTGATTCTCATCGCATACTCATCTGGAGAGAGCGGGGAAGCCGCAATCATCCCTCGAACATCATTGAAAGGGACAGGTATGGAGGTGGCGGTGTTCTCGTTTGGGGAGGCATCATGCTTGGTAGTCGTACAGACCTTCACATCTTCGAGGCAGGTTCAGTCAACGGGACCTGTTATTGTAACGAGATTCTTCTTCCATATGTGCATCTTTTTAGAGGCGCTATGGGTCCGCAGTTCCTTTTCATGGATGACAATGCACAGTGTCATCGCACAGTAGCTGCCGAACAGCTCTTAGAGAGCGAGGATATTGAACGTATGGATTGGCCGGCACGATCTCCCGATCTCAATCCTATCGAGCATGTATGGGATTTTCTAGACAGATGCTTGGCAGCTTGTACCTTACCACCAGTAATGATTCCGGAGCTTCGATTGGCGCTGCAAGACGAATGGGCAGCAATGCCTCAACAACTCATTGACACCCTCATTCTCAGCAAGGGCAGACGCTGTGAAACCTGCCTAGCAGTCAGGGGAGATCATATCCCCTATTAAAGACCGGATGTTTCTTGCTGGACACCCCTCACAGGGATATTTCGGCCTTCAGTCGCATTGCACTCCATGCTACTTTTTATCCCTCTGATTTCTCTTTTAGTAAGTGTTGCTTACATTACTCATGTCCGTACGTATTGGGGATCTTACGGTATTAAATGTGTTGATTTGGAAAGCTTTTGTACAAAGTTATATTGAAAAAACCGTCTCGTCCTTAATTTTTGCACACCAGTGTAAATCCACATGAGACATGTTAACTTACGAGGAAAAACGAAATTTTTTAATTTTCTTACTTTTATTGTTCAGCAATTTATGTCAGAATTCTTCAACTTTCAAATTTTAAATACAATAAGAATATAACAAGATTATGTTAGTTTCAATTTTTAACTAGATTAGATTTAATTACATCTTAATCAGAGATTATGGTATTAAATTCCTTTTATAATCAAAATTCAAACTTACTGAAATACTCTACATATACCAAAAAAAAAAAAAAAAAAAAGATATTAATATGAATACCCTTCAAAAGCATGCAGCAGCATCTCTTCACCAATGTCTTTGTAAACTGTTTCTTGAGATGCAAATGCAGGATCAGTTGGCTAATTAAAACATAAGACATATAAATAATGAAAAATTAACTACAAATCTATATAAAAAAATTAAATTAAAAATGCATTTTAATTTATATTTTTTTAATCTGTAAATGGAAAAAACATAACCTATCACCATAATAATTTTAGTTATGTGATTTTTTTTTTTTTTTTTTCCATTTTTTTCATAGCAATGCAATCAGAAATATCATTTTCTGCATTGTGGAAAATTTACATTTAAATTTTCTGATAAAAAATGTTTTACTTAAAGAGATGCTCTAGAACCTAAGAAAGCAAACATTATTTTATAAAATTGCTGGTTATATGTTAGTGTAAGAGCATATCGCAGTGTAGCAAAGAATAACCAGTATATGAACCATGGGGGGAAAAACTGAAGTAAAAAATTGTTCAAATTTTGACCACCGGGTGAAAAGAGGGCACATAAAGAACAAGAAACAAAAACTGGAAACACGGAACTTTATTTAATCACAGCGTTAGTGCAAAGTGCATTTCACTTCTTTAATCACACATTGAAACCATGTTATAACTTGTTCAATAGCAAGCAACATGAAAGGTTTCTTGAGAAATTGTAACAACATAATGTGCTCTGCTTGCTTTCAGTTCATGCAGAGCACATGTGCTTTCTCTTATAGACATACCGTATTTGACGGCATATAAAGACGCACATTTTTTCCTAAATTTAGTCTCAAAAAAGTTACCTGTGTCTTATACGTGAAGGACACAGGTTAACTTTCAATACTGAATGCTATTTTTGGCCAGGGTAAAGGTCTAGACACACATAACTTTTTCTACATCTGCCATAATTATTTTGCGCATGCTCGAAATATCTGTCGCCAAAAAGTGCCAAAGCACGAAGCTGATATCGAAGTTCGAACAGGTTTCGACGAGTCACATTACATCTATGGAGAATTTCTTTCTTTACATAGACTTTCTTTGACTCAGCCTAACACACGTGTCGGTATCGGTTGCTACTCTGTATAAACATGTCAGTATCGGTGCTTAAAACTATTTGTTAAAAAAAAAAATACTCTCGAAAATATGACTACAGGAAGCAAGAGATCAAGTTATACAATTAAACTAGGAGTGTTAACTATGCCAAAGTGCACGGAAACAGAGCAGCAGCAAGGCATTTTGGTTCACCATCTACCGAAAAAATGATACGTACTTGGCGTCTGCAGGAAGATCAACTGAAGACTGCTAAAAAACAAAAACACAACCTTCGATGCCCAGCTCCATCTTGGTCTGAAATTGAAAATGCCTGTAAAAATGTGGGTGATAGATAAGAGGAAATCTGCGATAAGTATTTCAACTAAATGATAACAATCAATGTGGCCAAAGGATTTGCGCAGAAAAACGGGGGAATCAAAACTTTTCAGAATTCTGAGGGCTGGTGCTACAGGTTCATGAAAAAGGCAAGGCTTATTCAATGCTGCACAAAACAACTATTGCACAGAAAATGGCCAGCAGATTACGAAGAAAAAATACTAGCATTTCATAGGTTTGTTATAAATGCACGCAAGAAAACTTCTTTTGAGCTCAGTCAAATAGGAAATATGGATGAAATTCCACTCACATTTGATGTACCATGCAACAAGACTGTGAGTATTAAAGGGTCTAAATCAATAACCATAAAAACAATAGATCATGGAAAAACCTGATATACAGTAGCTGTAACATGTTGTGCTGATGGCACAAAACTACTGCCTTTTTCATATTCAAAAGAAAAACTCATCCGAAAGAAAAACTTCCAATGGGTTTAATTGTTCATGTTCACCCGAAAGGCTGAATGGATGAAGCTGGAATGAAACTGTGTTTACAGAACGTATGGGAGAGGCGACCTGGTGGACTCTTAAGAAAACCCTCTCTTTTGGTTTTGGATCAGTATAACGCCCATAGAACTGAAACCATAAAGAATAAAGTGAGAGAATTAAAAATCCAGATAGCTGTCATTCCTGGCGGACTGACTAGCCAATTGCAGCCTTTAGATGTGTTGGTGAGTAAGCCATTTAAGGAAAAAGTACGAGAACGATGGAACAAGCGGATAGGAGAGCCACATCACGCCCTCACATCCTCAGGTAGAATGAAGCGGCCCTCTATTTCACAAGTGTGCGAGTGGGTAAAAAGATCTTGGGAGGACCTAAAGGCTGAAGTAATTGTTAAGTCCTTTAAGAAATGCAGAATCAGTAATGCTCTTGACGGAACTGAAGACGACGCATTATTCGAAGAAGGTGATACTAGTGATGACGGAAACAGTAGTGATGACGATATTCTCGTTTTCGATGATGATGATAGTGAAAAGGATTTTTAAGTTTTTGAAAGTGATTAAAGTCTATTCATGATAGGCAACGTTTTCCTTGAATCTGTGTTTTTTGTTGTTTCTGCTTTATTTTGTATTATGTTTGATTGCTTGCTGTTCATTCATTTATTCATTATTGAAATTTACATATCATGTTCAAAATAGCTTGCCATTTGTTAATTTTCCTTAATAAAAATATGTTTGGTAATTGCATTCAATGACTGTTTATTTGGCTTTTACGAAACGTGAGAACTAAAAGAAAGCACATTTTAAGTCATTGTGGTACCGCACTCTCGCGCGGACTGTTGCAACTTCTTTCCCTTGTGTGTGGCTTTCTAAATAAGGGTGTGTTTTATATGCCGTCAAATACGGTAATCTTTGATGGATCCCCATGATCCTTTTCTGCATTGTGTTCCAAAGATTCAATTTAAGAAAAGGAGATGGTCGGGCATTTGAAAACTTCTTGAAATTACCTGGTCATCTCCAAGTGAGCACAAAGCACTTTCTTGGCTTGTCAGCCAATATGGGATGTTGCACCATCTTGCAAGAAGAGAGTTTCTAAACAATTTCATTCATGATGACTTGCTGCTACAGAGGTTTGCAGTATCAAGCACAAGTTTGCAGAAATAATAATAAAGTTTAAATATAGAGAACAAAGTTTACAGCAAAACTATATCATACAGACATGTAATCAGAATGCAGAGGTTGTCCATTCACAAGAGTGAGATTTGCAATATAATATACGCAACACTTATGTATATTCATTCAGAAATGAGTAAAACATACCTTGTATGACCACAAAATGTTCTGAGGCCATTGTTGCAGATGATTGTTCTTCCCAAAATCAACAAGCAAATTCAGTGTGTTGATGTGCATCTCGAAGGTGCAGCTTTTGCACCAAATGGATCTCATGTGTAGCTTTTGTGCCAAATGGATCTTTAAAATGAACACTTTGAAATATATCACAAAACTTTCTGACGTTAGATAACAGTGGCCAAGCATATCAGAGAATATCATGAACAGGATGTTCTGTCAACAACAATTACAGCAACTTCTTTCACAGTACTATTTGAAATCTGTTTCTGCCCTCTTCCCAGCAGCACATCCAACTGCCCAATATCATCAAATTTAGTAATAATTTTTTTAAACCTTTCTTCAACAACGGAGAAACCCTTTTGCAAGCCTTTCAAATGTCAATATTCTTGAAAGGTAGTTTTGATACAACAACTTTACCAGTAAAGCTCTTTCTTACTTCTCTTAAAGGCATGGTGAAAAGTGATTCTACTATTCATAATCTGCATAACAATCTTTGATACTTTTCCATTATATGGGTAGCAGGGTGGGTGGGGGAAACATAAAATGTGTAATAACATGCCTAAGATAGCAACAACATCTAAGTCGTCTCAGTTCTATAAATGAAATTCAGCCAATTATGATTTGCAGCCGTTTTTCAGAATTACATGAAACATAATTTGATAGATGACTTACTTTGTAACATTATGTGACAAAAAGCATTTTCATAGGAGGGAAAGAAATTGGATTTCACAATCTGTGACTTACCTAAAGATGAGGAGGAGGCAGTGAAATTTCTACAGGATAAAGGAATTCTTCATTGGAGAAGATTTTGTAAAAATAATCATGAAATGTTGTGTTTTAATAATTGCGATACACCAAAATGGTGTTGCAACCTTAGATCTTGCTGAGAAAAAATAGGTGCCAGATCTCACCCTTGGTTTGAAGGAACACGCCTAAGTTTCTTTACAGCTATAAAATTTATCTACTGTTGGTCCCATGAACTTACATCCCATGAGTATGTAATTAACTGCTTCCCTTACAAATTTTTTTGAAAAAAATTGCAAAAAATCATCACATTTTTTTATTTTATTATTAAATACAACAAAACGAAACAAATCAAAATATGTAGGTTTTAAGTTGAATTTTTAATTTTTTGAAGGTGTAAAAGCATTTATTTTTAATATTAGTTTACTATCCCGAGTTATCTCGGGCCAAACAAAATAGTTAAATATTAATCTTTGTATTTTGTTTTTTTAAACAAGAGACAACACAGAGTGATACCTGACGTTCTACACTGGTATCTGGTCTCTTTTCTTACTGGCTTACCGCTGGAATCTCTTTCACGGGAGCACAGAGTACACTGTCTCATTGGATTTGATTTTTTTTTTCTCTTCCCCACCTCTTCATAATCACTATCTGAGAAATCATCGCTTTCGCTATCTTGCATCATCGACATTATTTTTTTTCCCAACACATGCATCCTTCTTTATACATTACTAATCCACAAGCCAACGTATACTATACAATAGGGAAACACGCGACCAGTCCCTCCAAAAGAACCGCGCAACCAACAAAATGTGGCAAACTGCCAATCAAAGCTGAATATTTTCTTTCATTTCCTCCAAACCGAGTAAAACCGTGATAAAAGAAATCATACTAATAAATTCTGCTTTGCCCGAGTTTTCTCAGGATAATAATGAACTGTAATATATACGAACCCGAGATAACTCGGGATAATCAGGCAAGCGGTTAAAAATAAACCACAATACAATCATTGACTGGAATAATCATATGTGCGAGGTTTGCACTCATGCCTAATTATGTAGATCTGAAGTTAAAATTGGTGGGAATAACAGAACAGTACAGGTTAATGAAAGTCTTTTTATGAGAAGAAAGAGTATCATTAGACATGCTTTTCCACAGTGGGTTTCTGGAAGCCTACGTAGAGAAACAAAAGAATGCTTTCTTATAGTCATTTTGGATCGCTCAGCTCAAACCTTATTTGGTGCAATTGGGGAAAATGTTGTAGATGGTAGTATAATTTTTTTTTTTTTTTTTTTTTTTATTTCTGAGCAGTGGGTTTGAAAGAAGCAGGATATGATTATCTCACAGTTAACCACAGATACACAACAGTTGAAATAAAAATCATATGCAAACAGTTGAAAGAATGTGGGGCACTGCAAAATGGCATAATAAACAACACTGTGGCATCTCACATTACCATCTTGAATCATACTTATTAGAGTTTATATGGCAATGATTACATAAAAGTGGCCCTGTTCAAATTTAAATTGTATTTCATTTATAATGTGTTTAAAATTTATTAATACTGTTATAACAAAAAATATCTTTTTTTTTTTTTTTTTTTTTTTTTTTTGTGTGTGTGTGTGTGTGTGTTTTGCTTGTATTATGGAAAAATACCTAATGTTTTAATTGCATGCAAAATGCTATTTAGGGGTTGAAATTTTCACTATTATTTTTTGTTATTGCAATTTTCTTTTCCCCACGGCCTATAAATCATATACCAACTTTCAACGAAATACAACAATCAGAATGGGCTCCACATAAGTAAGAACAAGATCACTTTAATTATAACTGTCCTTACATCAATATCCTGTTTAATATTTAAGTATAAAATTTTTATCCACATATTAATTTTACAAAAATTTTTAAAAACATTCCTTTTGAATCAAACTTACCAACATCTGCTATAATATCATTAGAAAGGAGATGAATTCATAACACTTGTTTCCCGATATAATAAACTGCTAAACATATACAATACACACATGTATACATAGCATATATTTAAATTTGAATATTTTTTAATCCATATTCCTCTTCTTAATGGAAATTTAAACTGAAATTGAAGATTAAAAAAGATCTTGAATATTACTTTCTAGTTTCCAAATTGCCAACAGCTTTTTTTTAAACTGTTAGCAGCTGTAGATTCAGTTTACATTCTTGTTAGATGTTCATACTGAATTGACATCTACCATATTTTTGTGACACAAATAATACCCGAGACTAGTGTCTTTTCCTATTTATTAACTTCTTCTGAATGAAAAAAATAGCAAAATATTTGCTAAAGGTTTTATCACTTGAAAAGTAGAGGTTTGTTGGCTGGTCTGCCAAGTTTTTTCACGAAAATACTTAAAATAAACAACTTTTAATCATTCAAAATTTTAATTTTCATTTACCCTGAATCACCTTACAAACTATTTAAAATAATTTTTAAAAACTTAAACAACTTTATTATGTAAAATATTCCTGTATATTTAGTATTTGGAGGGGGGAAAATGATTGAAGAAGCTTATTTTTCAAAGAAATAGAACGATTTTAAACATCAAGGAAAGAAGCTATTTTTATGTATATACTTACATCAAGAGATAAATAGGAATAATCATAATTAAAACTTTTTGTAGAATCCTTGGAATTTGAAGGAGCTTTTGGGTTCACAATAGCTGTAACAGAAAACAGAAAAATGACATAACAAAATATAAATTTAAAAGAACTTATCTACAAAAATTGAATTTAAAATTGTAAAATTAAGGAAAGCACACATAATGAAACAGGATATGTACTTACTTGTAGTATTCCCTGACATAGAAATAATGCATTTGCAATCACGGTGAATTTCCCGGTTATTAAAAGGGCGAACCCTCACAGCTACTTTGACAGATGTCATGATGAATTCAAAAGTTTAAAATAACTCTTGACAGACCTACAATAAATAATATGGATAATAAATAATATGGACAATAAATAAAGGTTTAAAATGCATCACAAAAATATCAGTGTTATGAAAAATGATCTATGGTGAGTACCAAAATCATTTTTCATAACACTGATAAGAGTTATCTTTTAATGACTCCCTGAGCATTGGACCTATTTTTGCATTGTCCAATAGCAGGGATAATGCAAAAAAATTGACATGCAATTTATGGTTTTAAAAAACTGAAATCAGAGTCAAAATAAATAAAAATATATTAAACACAGACAACTGTTAAACATTCTGCATTTAATAAACTCTAAAAGTTAACAGAAAATTGTTAAACATTAAAACATAAAACTGATGTATTTTGTAAGATTTTTCTAATATATTTAGAAAATTTTGTTAATTGACAGTATGTAGAAAAATTACAATTGTGCAATATTTTGTTGAATCACGGTTCATAGAAGTACATAACAAAAGTTAAATATTGCAACCACATTGATATGAAAATAGTAAACATAAGATATGGCACTAAAGAAGGGAAAAATCCGACATTCATCTCTTAGATCAGCAATTGTTAAACTTCTTGAGCTGCAGGATCTCTCATATGATGTGCATTTTGTCAGATTAACCTTGCATAGTGTTTTTATTATATTTTTCTCATGAAATAAATAATAAATTAAATTTTAATTGAAAAATCATTTGCAGATGTTTGGTTCTCAGACTTCCTGAGAGCCAATGATCGCAATTTAAAAATCATTAAGCTAAACTTCATATTATTCAATCATATGAAATACATGATAACATTTAGTTTTGAAACCAGCTGTTTTATCTACGAATACATGTAGAAGACTTTTATGTTAATATAAAAGTGGTAAATTCCATATTTTCTACAAAACACAATCTTGAATAGTTTTTAGATATGAAACTTGTCTTCACAAATGGAAAATATTACATTTATGTCTTTTATATCATTTAAAAAATGGATAACAACAGTAACAAATCCTAAAATTTGATTTGTGATAATACAATGAACGGTTATTAAAGTGGTTTTTTTTTTTTTAAACTATAATTTGAATTGCTTAGTAAATCACAGGTAAAGGCATATCTGATATCTTCGCTTATGTACCGTGATTCAGAACATATTTAGTCAGAAGCCTATTAAACAGAAATTGCTTAAAATTTTCTGCATTACAGTGAAGTTTAATTATTATAGTAATATAAAGGTAAAAGCTGAAAAATCAGAATAATGAACTGTGAGCAGAAAAATCTTTTCCATTCTGACTCATGAAAAATTTCCTGATAAAAAATCAAAACAGAGATGTTATTAAAAGCACATTTTATTTTTACAACAAAAGAATTTTTTATTTTTACAAATGTTATGAAACTACTAATCTAATTCACATTAATGAAATATTCAAAGACCAGTCATTTCAGTAAAAGAAGATAAATATCATTTGATTTAATACTAATATTCTCAAAATTCTAAATAATAATAAATAAGTATGTTACAATAATGGAATTACTAAGTAGAGAACATATAGGAAGCTTCTGACAAAAATAAGTATTCTGTTGAAATACAGAAAAAAGAAGCAAAACATACAGTCTTTAATTTAATAAGATCGCTTAAACTCATAAATAAAGCACTTACGACAAGTCACTAATGGCTAAAGGAATTTATGTATTTAGAACACTTGAAGCTCCTTTTTATGTATCCCTGTATTTCATAGAGAATTTGAAAAATCACACATTCAGCACATACTTCAATACACATTTCTCAAAAAATATCATACTAAAATGTGCTAAAATACATCCAGAAGGCACAAGATTTTTCTATCTAAATCTAGTCAAAAGATTCAATATGTCTGCTTTGTGATGCAGGAGTAAGGCCTTCTACGTCACAGCTCCAAGCAGCTTCTCCTACATACAAACCAACAGAGCTCTATCTAACCAATAGTAGAATCACCCTGCATGCCCACTCACCCCAAAAATCAATACTCAGCAGGCTAGACTGAAAGGAGCTTGAGAGCACTGCATTTCTGCACTGTTCTCCTCCTCTTTTAATTAAAATGCTGAGGACAAATACATAGAGAAAAAATAATAATGGTTCACACGACACAGGAACTTTTCACACGTATTATCTAACACATTATCTGTTAACAAATACAGGATTATATTTATTACATGATTACAGTTAATAGATAAAGGATATTAAACTCTGCTAAGTAAAACATTTCAGTGCTTTAAATTTTTAATAGTTTTATGAAATACATATTTTTTTCACTATACACTCAGTCAATTATATATATATATATATATATATATAATATTTTAAAGACGAAAGGAGCTCATTTTATAATAAAATAAAAGCTAAATAAAAATTCCTCCTCAGTTACATAGCTACGAAAATTAAATTTTTTTTTATTCCAAAAACATTAATCATTGTATAAATGATATTATTATCCTTTTATAATGGGTAAATGATTTTCATAATTATATGATAAAATGTCAGTTTTTAAACCTGAAATATTCTTTACCTACAGTTGACTAACATCATACTATTAAACAACATATCAAGAACTATAACTAAATTTTGAACATGCATGACATTTAATTCAGCTTTTCTAAACAACTGACAAACAACATTTCTTATTTTTCAATAAATGTAAATCAGCTTTACCTGTCAGGTAAACCTGCTGCAATTTTTTAGCAAAAATATATAATATTTTGGTACTCAAATATTTTGAAATACCCATTTAAAAACTTATCATTGCAAACAGTTAATATTTTTTCAATAATCAATAAAGATGATTTTATCATATATTTATTTCACTTAAAAGTTTTATTCAAATACTATGACAGTAACAATAATTATTGAAATCTTAAATCAGACTGCAATACTTACATTTGTACTGCATAATTATGATGCACACATACAAACAGCAAATATTAAAACACTAATTCCTGGAAAAGTTTGAACTAATAATAATTCTATTTGTTTAATAAATAAAAACCATTTGAAACTTACATCATTAGCAGAAATTAAAGACTTAAAAAAAAAAAAAAAATTTCAAAGGGTCAGCAAATATATATGACAGATAATCCACAGATATAATCTGTGGAACAAAAATAGAGGGAGAGAAAAGGTGCTTTGATAGAAATGAAATTTCCTAATATTCCACAAGTGATGTAAAATATTCAGGAAAAGTGTAGTGTATTGTATATTCATGTATAAGTACTGAACATTGAGAACTGAGTTAATTAGGAATGAACTGAACATAAAGTCTTACAAATGAATGAAATAATCATGATTATTTGCATTTACTATTGCTTTTTTATTTTCCATTTAAAGGTCATATCTTTATGGATTATGTTTAATTGAATGTCTAATCTTATAAAAAAATTCTCTTTTGTGTATAACAATCCAACTCAAATTTGTCAAAGTATTTATATGGCTTAAGTATCAACACGTAATATTGTTAAGACGTTATTTTATCCAATATTTTTAGTATATGATTGAAGTATGTTAGCTAAAAATATAAAATGCAAAAACATAATTGCAATGCAGTTAATTTTTTTTAAATATACTAATTACTAACTAAAGCAAGAAACAATTGCTAAACTACACTTTTCTAGATACAAGATTACAGCAGCACTAACAGTCAGTCATAATCAATCACAGAAAATGAGATGTTTGACATGATTTGGTGTTTTTTTTTAGGCATTTATAGTATCTGCTTGGAACTCTGTTAATTAATTAAGCAAATCCCTTGCCCAAAGAAAAATATGTGTAACTCACATGAGTTAACTTAAGTACACCAAACTAAATTATTTCCACATACCTGAGTAAATACATTCAAGAATTTTTTTTTCTCAGATATGAATACAATAGAATATATCTGCTAATGTTTTGAGCTAAAATAAAGAATAAAATAATTGGTAAAAAAAAAAAAAGGAATACTTTCTAAATTTTTATTGGAATTAAGAGGTTAAAGTAGGGGTGCACTGACAGTACTGAGCAATCATTGTTAAATTCTTAGCTATGGATGAGGAACCAAGAGTAAATGCTCATTAAATCTGAATTATAAAGGTTTCGTCTTAAAAGTCTGAATATCCAGACAGAAGTTCCCATCACTTTTTGAATAATAAATATAACACTGGAAAAATAATTACAGTACTGGAATAATTCTTAATACTTGAATAATAATTATAATACTACTACTAGATGTTACTAGATGGAAGGGAAAAAATTACGGCAGATTACTATGCATAGGTATATGCTGACTGACTTGAAAGAAACGATATAGAAATATACAGTGTGTTCTATTATCCCTCTCTCTAAAATTCAATAGTGAGTTTTTAGTAAATAAGCATGAATTAAGGTATATGAATGACATGTATATGTCTGTATTGTGTGATCATTTTTTCATTCAAGATAACTCTTATGTGAAACTTTCAAAAAATTTAAGCTATCTATATTCATATAAAGAAATGATTCGATTTTAGGTAAAAAAGGCCAACCAAAAGTAGCACTTTACATGAAGCCCGGAACAGTCTTTAATGGACAGTGGTACTTTACTTGAAACACATAACATAGATCAGCCCAAAACATTATAGAAAAACTATATTAAAATATAATCCAAAACTTCTCAATTTTAGTATATAAACTTTTACATGAATGGAAACAACAAATTAGATGTTGGAAAAAATTTATAAACTGGAAGTGATACTTTACTTGAAGCTCTGAACAGACCTTCACAAAAAATATATTGAGATAAACCTAAATTTTTAAAACTTTGTATTTAAAATAAGTATGCTGTCACAGACAACATATTAGATTCATATGCATTAACATATTCTTGGAATCATGCTAAATGCTATGAGAATAAGCTCATTAGGAAGACGAGGTCTCATTACAAAACAATTAAATGTATTAGCCTCAATCCTCAATTTTGATAACGATTAAGATCACTTCACTCGCTCATAGCATTGAATCATTTTTCAGATAAAACGATGCTGCCACCAAATATTATTGCCATGTATAATTTTTAAGGAAATAATATAGTAAATTTAAATAACACACACGAATATGAAAAGAAGTATGGCAATACTTTATTAGTAATTCTAAAGATATGCTGCTTTTAGAAATTTTGTGATTGTTCAGTCACTAATTCATGATGATTTGTTTTGGTTTATTTAATTATGGCTCAGTATTCAAGGGTTCTACTTAAGGGAAGGGATACCTTACTTCGTAGATAATTTTCTATAAGAAACTTGCTTATACACACATTAAACATGAAGCAAACCATGAAAATGCCCATGTAGCCAGCCTGTTGATGCGATTCGAACCCCAGGCTGAACTACCAGCATTCAGTAACTTTATCATTCAGCCGCATGTGCACTCTCATTGATTCGTGAATCCAAAATATCACATAACCAAAGGATAATCTATGATTGATGTGATATTTTTAAATCAAAGCATGAGGACTGATGTGTACATGGGTACTTATAGTTATCATTGTTCATTGTACGGGATAATGAAATAATAAAAAATTAGTAGTATTTTTAATTAAGCCATAAATTTATAAACAAATTAAATTTTATTTACTAACGCTCAACCAGAAGTGAAAGTTCGTTTTAAAGCTTGTTGCTATTTCACCAATTCCATGTCTTAGCATGGAAATATGGAATTGGTGGAAGGTCATGTACAAGCCACAACAAATTTTTTCATTTATGATTTCATTATTTGTTACTTAAATCAATCTATTTCAGACTTAAAAAGCTGCCTTAGACTAGTGTTACAAATTTATTCTATTCAAGGTTACTTGCTAAAGTGAGAGATGTTAAAATAGACTGACAAATATAAAATAAAATAAAAAGAAATTATGCACTTCCATAGTCTGAAGATCTCAGTAAAGTGAATGAAAGAAAAACATTTACACCAAAAGCAAAATGCTGCAATAATTTTTTTTTCTAAATATTAATTATATAAATTACTATTTAGAAAAATGTCCATATTTAACTCTGTATTTGTTTATTAGAATTCATTAAATTATTTGATTAATTTTCTCACGAATAATGAATACTCAATTTCCTATTTCATACTTTATTAAGAATTTTTTGCAGTCCAAAGATAAAAAAACAAACAGAAATAACACTGGATTCACAGCTTACTTTACTCTCAGCATATTACATCCAAAGAAAAAAAAAAAAAAATGTTGATAGATACACAAATTTGAAAATTTTGAAAATAGGTATGTTATGCCACACTCCTCTTAAATAACACTATATCACATTTCTTTATGATGCAGAAGAGAATCACGCTCAATTGTACCTTATAGCAGGGTTTCTTAAACTTTTTTCAGTTGCAACCTCTTTTTACAAGAGATTTTTTTTCCTACCCCCTGGACCTAATAATATTTTTAAAAATTTTGTGGGGCCGCATAAGTATTGCCCAAATCCGACACACGCATGGGGTCGCGATCCAGAGACAGTTTAAGAAACTCTGCCTTATAGTATGAATCCTGCTTTTTTAAATAATTACAAATTAATGTTTGATGCCACTTGATTTAATGAGTATAGGATAAAACACACCATGATCAAGAGCATAGTATTTCATGCAATTGACTGAGATTTCATTTACCAAACTATTCAGTTTTGAGTGATTTATAGATTTCCATGCCTTCACTGCAAATCATCAAATTATTCCTATATCCAAAGGCTGCAAGACATTAATATCATAATATGATAAAAATTAAAACAAGCATAATTCTACCCTGCATGTGAACAAGGCTTAAATATAGTTTAAAGATTTTTTTTTTTCATAAACCAATTTATCTTCGGGGAAGGGAGAGAAACTCAAAAGTGAAAATGTCTTGACAATTT